TAAATTGCTGATTTCTCTAGAATACAACAACTTTTTGACTAGGCCAAACTGAAAAGACTACTTATTGTAAACTATAGAATATTTTATGCCATATCCAACTATCAAATGCCTATACAAAATTGAGAAAGGAAATAGAACTTTGACAATACACTCTACGATTGGCTCGTCCAATTATGTTGTATTTGTAATGAAAACTGTTCACAGCTGGTTCATATAGATGGGATTTTTCCCTAAGTACGCTAAAGTTCCTGATGTTCAAAGTTCCTATTGCCTTTCAGATGGTTACAAACCTTTTTTGAACATGTTATAAAATATTTTGCTATAAATCTTAAGGAGAAGAGTTAATTTGGGAAAAATTGATGGAGTTGTAAATAGTTTGATAAAAACCTATAGAGAAAAAATTAAACTGTGTAGGATTGTGCAAATTGTAATTACAGTAGACTCCCCTCTTATCCGGACAAGGACACCTAACCGGACATCGGTTTAACCGGACTACGCTTGGCAGAAATGACATCCCTTAAACTGGACAATTTTTATAAACAAATCGGTTTAGCCAGACTGGATTGGCAGGAAGTGGATGGTACTGAAACGACTGTTCTTGTGGGAAAGATTTGAGACCAGTGATCACATGTCTAAATATGTAATAATCATTATTGGCTTATACAGTATACATTCAAATGGTCCGTTTGAATGAGTTTTTTGGGACGTCGGTTTAACTGGAAAACCCGTTATCCAGACTGGCCTCGGTCCCGAGGAGTCTAGATAAGGGGAGTCTACAGTAGTGGGGTTAGTTTTGTTATGCTAGAACTTTCATGTAAAGAGACTTTAAATACTGTACTGGGAGTTTTAAACAATCCCTTTTGCGACAGTCTAACAACCTCCTCTGTGGTTTGTTACGATCTAGCAATCAATGTTCTCAGTGGTTTTTGACAGAAGCGATGTCCTGGATGGTTTTGAGACTGTCTAGCAATCTTCTGGGTGGTTTGCGACAATCTAGCAAAGTCCTGGTTAATTTGCGACAATCTTGTCCTGGGTGGTTTGAGACGGTTTAGCGATAGCGATGTCCAGTCCTGTGTGGTTTTGAGATGGTCTAGCTATCTTCTGGGTGGTTTGCGACAATCTAGCGATGTCCTGTGTGGTTTGAGACGGTTTAGCGATGTCCTAAGTGGTTTTTGACGGTCTAGTAGTATCCTGGGATCGGATCCCAATGTCCTGATATTTTATCAGCACAGTAATTCAGTCCTTGCATGATATACAAATGCAAAGGTCTGAAGCCTATGTGGATGGGCAAATGCAAGTTTAAAAGAAAGAAATAGTATAACAATTCAACATTCTCATTATTTACTTACCGTAATTGTTATCTAAAATAATTGTGAACATTTTCAAAGATAAAATCTCAAACCTGTTCTAACCTGTTGACAGACTCCGCCGACCAGTTCTGCCAGAGGATCCGGAGACCTTAACAATAACAACAACAGCAGCAGCTTGCCGCAGCTTCCTCCGCAAGCAGCGGCACACAAGGCAAGCTGACGGAGCTAAGCCACGGCTCCAGCGTAGTTTGTAGCTTAAATTGTACAGTATCTTACACTAGTCCGTGTCTCATTTATGCTTCTGGGTGTAAATACCGTTGTTGAGATACAATTTCATATTTTCCATTCTCTACGCGAAAATGTGAATGTTTCTTTTGAAGAAATATGTTAGTTGATTTAGTTTGGTTTTGTATGTGGTTTCCATTGAAAATTGTAAAATAAGAGACTGTTGTCTAGTTTTAAGTGGCAATATAAAAAAAATACAAAACAGCAGTAAATTTTATAAATAATTTTCTTTTATATTTACTGCATAAGTATACAGTTTTTTTATTCCAAATTTTAAAAAGTATCAAGAAGTTCTTTTTTAACATAATAGTACTTTGTATGCTATTTAATTATTGTCGATACTGAAAACCAATTATCAATTTTGTTAACTAGATACTGAACAAATTCATAGTTCTAGTTTTAGACAGTTATGAAAGCAGTGAATTGCAAAACATAAAAAATATGAATGATATATTAATTTTTCATACATTCACTGTGTATTTGTAAATTGAAAGCTTTTGATAGTTAGGGAAAACAAGATTTTTTGTTATATTAGCACTTTGTATGCTATTTAATTACTTTATAAAATCATTCTAAACTAGACACAAGTTTGTCTCCATGCAATTTTCTTTGTATGAAACCCATGTTTATGGATTATATTATTAATTATTATTGTTTAATGATTGACAGTTTATTTTTGAATGGAAACACTGTATAACTTAGTATTCATGCATAACTAGTATGAATTTTATAATGCACTGAAAAGGCTGAATTCATGAGAGTCCTCAAAGTATTATGTAACACTATTTTTGAGTGTTTGTTTTATTAGTAACTTAAGTGTACTAAGTTGAAACCAATCGAAGGAAAATATTTTTGAATATGTAGAAAAAGTATATATATGGTAGTTAAACCAAATAGAAAACTAATCTTTTTATTTTATCTGGTGCTTAGTAGGGCTGCCAGTTTGTTAACAAATAAGATTTTTTGTTCTTATTGTCTGTTATTGTTGTCTTAAGTGAGATATTTTTGTATCACAAACTACTTTTGTTGATCTGATCTCTTATTTTTTGTATGACTTGTTTGTATACATGTTCTTAATATAGGCACTGTATTACCTCTTTAGCCTATGTTACTCAAGGTACAAATGAATATCGTAGTATTTACTTTTAGTAAACCAAACTATTTTATTATAATAATGTTTTATTATTATTATACCAGATATTTAGGTTTATTTTTACATTTAATGACCGTATTAAAAAATGTAATGACAAAATATAATAATTACCTCTAAAAGCACAGGTATGTTTTTAAAACATTGCAATTCATATAACACGTTTGTTTACAACTATATAACTTTTTTAGTACAGAGTTGTAATAAACATGAAAATTTGTAGTATTACATGTTTAACATTTTGTATTTTTTGTAACTACTTAAGTTAAGTAGTTTTAGTTAAACTTGTAAATATAGGTAGTTTACATGATAAGTGTAATGAAAAATGCAATAAACTGTATATAATTGGAACTATTATTTCATTTAATTTGTTTTGTAATTTGCCTTTATTCCTTCACTTAGTTTTATTTATTTCTGACTTTTTGACTGAGTGACAAAGGATACTATAATTTAGGGGAAAGGTTACCATCCCATCATTTTTTTTCCCACAAATATATCGTTATATAGATATTTATATACATATATAAAAATTTGAACGAAGGGTGTTTTTGGCCTCTGGGGACATCAAAATTAAAAATTAAATCAGTCCTGGGCCTAGGTCTTACCAAGAGACCTACCGTAATAGATACTTCCCTATAGGGAAATTCGCTAAAAGGGTATAAATAACTTAGTTGAATTGAGACACTGCCAGAGTTTGTCAAATACAATTCTATTATTAAACATCAACTGCCCTTTTGGCTTTATTAAGGGCAACCTTTCCTCACATGATAACTGTAGCATCTTTCGTGCGTGACCTTATAAACTATAGTAAAATGAACACCCAAAAGAAATACTGTAATACTACTTCAATAGTGGCACAGTATTTTATAGTTGAGGCTCAATCAATCAACTATTGCATTTCTTTTTAATAAAAATCACATCTGGTCCTTAAATAAGATTTCTACTACACCAAGGGTCATAATAGTGTTTAAATTAATTTTCTAAAGCAAAAAGAAACACATTTTAAGTTTTCACTTTCAGTGGATGTAGCCTCAAATTCACAAAGTAAAATTAAGTTATAGATGTCAACAACATAAAAGTTATAATTTACAGAGTTACATCGCTTGTTTCAACAACTCAAGTTATGCAAGGGTTTTATTATTTGTTTGAACCTAACTTAGGTTATCTGAAGATAAAGCTGTTTTATTACTTTACTAGTGCATCTAATTCTATTTAAATCCACCCTTTTTAGCCAGATAAGTTTTCCATTTCCGCAAGAGAGTTGAAGAAGATTGAGTGTAAGTAAGGTGTTGATCACAAATTTAAGTATTTTGTAACTGCTGGGAACATTGAATTAATTTTGTTAGGCAAACAAATAAATTGATTTTGGAAGAAACAGAAACACAAAGAAAGATTTCATTTTTCAGCAAACATATAATCGTGACTTCCACTTTGCATCTAATTTTTCAAAAAATATTTTTACTGTTCATATTATAATATTAGAACTAAATAAAGTGTATTTACTCAAAATGAAATGAAATGAAATGTTTATTCGTCATATAGAATTTACATTATCCAATATTACCAATACATAACATAAAACCAATATAAATTTAGTTTAAAGTAAACCCAAGTCAGTATATGAACTACCTGTAATAAAACTCATTGGTTTTTAATAGATTTTTATTCTCTCAATACATTGTTCGTTACATATTATTGTTTGCATTAGTTTTGATTACTCAAATCAAATACATTTCTTCTCTTAGCTTTTTCAAATTTTTTACAACCAAGTCGAAATTGAAAAATAACTATTTGCATACTCAGCTGGAAATATTGACTTAAGAAGATCACAAGACGAGAACTTCAACATAGTAAAAATATTTTGAGGTTTCTTTGTTGCTGTACTACAATATTATATAACTCAGTCGCTTATTTACTTCCATGTTGTACTTATTTTTCAATCCAGTGAACACCATATGACAAAACCAAATTTTGCAGCCTTCTCCCTCATCAATCCCAATGTTGATAACTCCATACCAAAAATCCTTTAAAGGAGAAAAAAAGCTAAAACTGCAAAGTGAAGCATCCAAAAGGAAAATAATCTTGTCATGTCACCAACGTGTAGTCACTCTATATTGTTTACAAAGATAAAATATAGTAGTGTCTTGTTATACAACAACACACCATTATTCAGAGCTTATCAAAATAACCATTAAATTAGTTATAATGAGTAAACAAGTAATTTGATGTGATAGTGACTCAGTACTGCTCAACAGTTGGTACAACTGACATGGAACACTGTTCGGTTGGCAAGAGTGAAGTGGATAATGAACACCCAGCTGTTACCAACTTTAGAGAATATCTCAGAATACCATCTGTCCACCCTGATGTGAACTATGGTAGGTACCATAGCTTACAATTTACCACAATGTTTTCATCTGGAACAAAAAACCATGGTTTTAATTAAAATCAAAATGCTAGGAGCTACTTATTAGTAAATTTTAGAAACTGGACACAAAAAATGTGTTTCTGTCAATTAATTAATCCCACATTAACATTTGAACCAGTCTCTAAGGATAAATTTAGTAAGGATATTTTTTTCTTTGAAGACAAAACAAGAAATTTGAGCGTGGAACTTTGGTCCCTGAGGTCCAGGGATCAAGTCCCACCAAACCACACCAATGGATTTTATCCTAGTGCCCCTAGTGGTAGCCCCTAGGTCTAGCCAAAGCAATGTGAAAACAATACCGGGCTCGTGCCTAGCACCCTAGGGGAAAATATGTAGAAAATGACTGATTGGTAACTGACAATTACCAGTTTTGGTAATACACGGAACTTCTCTGTGGGTAATGTAATTGACAAATAATCGACTCATCCCAACTTCCACCCAAGTAATCCTCCTATCAAGTTCTGCCGCAGACAGAGTCTTGTACAACAGACCCAATAGAGACAGGCTCAAACTCCAAACTCTAAAGTCCCCTCTTCCAGCCGGAGAAACCTTTACGCCACTCTGCCCACACAGGCGTCAGCAGACGTCTTACCACTTCTTCGGAAGACGTTGCTGACGTAGCTCTTAATGTAATTTACATGATAGTGTTCACACCGGCCCATCGTTATGCGAGCGACGGGAGCGATGTTGCTGAAAATAATACATTGAATCAAAGCTCACATCGCCGATTATGCACATGCAAACTAGCACCCTGGGCTGTCACCGTCTTTTTGTCATCATTCATTAGGTCATCCATTAAGATGGTGGAATTCGCCAAATTGGTTTCTTCTGAAATTAATTACATGGATCTATTTAGGTCTTTAGGAGGCTGAATTTAACAGCAACAGATCGTTCTCAGTATCTCTACATTATTCTCCATCCATGGCAGAATAAAAGCAGGATCACATCATGGTGTTGAATAGGACACCATTCAAGGATTTATCTATTCTTATCCTTTTGATGGTGCGTGGGATGGTCTTGATCAGTGAGTTGGTGGTGCTGCTTGGGTGGAGAGGGAAACAGCAGTGGCTCGCCGGCTACAGAGCCAGATGTAGCTTTGGTGTGTACAGTGTGCAAATATTAATACATCAAGGACGTAGTTAGATATGTCTGGATGCCTGTGGGAACACGACTTTAATAGCGCTGGCAAAAAAATCTACATTATTGATTATTTCTCTTGTCCATGATATGTCCACCACACTAACAAGACTGGTCCAATTCAAAGCCCAAGATTAGTAGTTTAAAACTTTATTCCTAGGTGAAAGTGCATGTGAACTATAGCTTTCAGCCGTTTTTGTTGAGCTATACTTGCATGGATTGTTGTAAAAGGAAGTTTGATTATGTGTTACTGGTGCCACATCACAGTAACACATCACTGCCCAATACATCACAGCTTGGAACTCATAATGTTAAAATGGTGTATACCACAGAAAACATCAAGTGACCGCAGCACACTCTATCATATGATGAATTAAAATACATTCATTGATTCATTTTACTCTATGCAGTCTAAACGTGGAAATGGGATGTATCCTTCCATCAATGATCAAAAGTGTATCAACCATCAAGTAAGAGAATTTATACCCCCAATATTAATTTATGCCATTTAATATCAAGCAAGTGTATGAAATAAATTGAGAGTAAATATGTCAATTAATTGTTCATCTCAATTGTGTTCATCTTGAATATTAACTTATATTACCGGTAACTAGACTAAAACTATTAACTAAATAAATACTAACCAAACTCATTCCATATAACATGTTCCCCACCAGTCACACTCCTCTGTATGTATGTAGTCTCGGACCACCCATAAGTGAATGTGTTAAATAGGTCCCAAGCTATTTACAGAACATGTACCTGAAACAAATATTTTCCATAAGAGTATACTGTATTTCCTAGAATTTTTATTTTTATCTAAACAAAACTCAATTAAAGCAAATCTTTCTAACACAACTTTCTCAAAGGGAGGTTGAAATGGAAACCTCCTTCATGGTAACACAAATCTAGTTTATTTTCCTCTTTTCTCTTTCCCCAGACGAGTGTGTTGAGTTTATCAAGCGCCAAGCCCGAGAGTTGGGTCTGTTATGGATGGTCCACTCCTGTGTTCCCGGACACCCTGTAGTGATAGTGACATGGACGGGACAACAGCCTGAACTGCCCAGCCTGCTGCTCAACTCACACATGGACGTGGTCCCAGCCTACCCTGTGAGTATCAATTTCTACTAATGTAGGAATGTTGCTAAAGTTGTTTGAAAAAGAATTGCCTGATTATTGTTATTGTTGTGTTTACCTGCCTCAGGTATTGTTATTTCAAGTTACCTGAGGTAATTTTCCTGCCTGCCTACTTACCTCGTGCAAACACGGCTTGAAGATAAATCTTTTCTAGCCAAGATGATCAAAAGCCATATGAAGGACAGCTGAGTCCAATTACAAACCATCAAAAAGTTACTAATTTATTCAGGATTGAACCAGCGACCTATATTGATTATCAGGTGACACTGTAATCATCTACTACCCAGCTATGTGTCAATATGTATATTCATACTCCATACTTTTAATTCTTTTAATCATACATGTTGGTTATGTGTGAGCAACCACTTATCTGCTGTAAAAAATGTTGTTAAGGTTTTTTCACCTCCAAAGAATAATTAATAATGAGGTGAGTCGGTGGCTAAGTCACTATAGCCTGTGCTATAGCACCAATCCTGATACTAAAATCAAATTCAAATTCAAATTATCTTTATTTTTAGTATGTACAAAACGTACAATAAATAGTGTCAAGCTTATAATTACTATGTACAAATACTGAACCTAAACAAAAAATACAGAAAATAAAACTATCTATAGTAACATTAAAAAGTTCATCTATTGAGTATGGGTTTTTCTATCAAAAATTCTTTAAGTTTTTGTCTAAACATTTTTTTATCCTTAATATCTTTTATTTCATTTGGTATTATCTTTAAAAAACCTAACACCGGCATATGAGGGCTAATTTTTATACATTTCTAAGTTGTGTTTCGGTAGAACTATATTATTTTTGTTTCTAGTGTTGTATTGATGGGTTTCACAATGTGTTTTAAATTTTTCCCGGTTATTTTTTACATGTACGATAAATTCCAGTACGTACAAACTAAACACAGTTAGTTACAAATTGACAAAATGTTGCTTTACAGACTCATTATAATCTAGATTTAACATTATTCTTATTGCCTTTTCCTGTAAAACAAGTATCTTATCTAAATTTTTCAGGAAAGTGCATTTTTTAGTATGTGTGGATTCACTACTTTTTATCACTTGCTTTGCTGGAGTGGATATGTTCTAAGAACATATTCGTTGTATCCTAGCAGCCTGCATCACTTTGTGACTTCAAAATCCGTGATATATTTTATATATAGTTGATAAAGGTTAAAACGTGATATTTCTCATTATATACACAAAACAACACTGCTAATCTAACCAAAAACCAAACAGAAACAAAACAAACCAACCAATGAACCAACATAACATAGCCTTTAAGTTTAAATAAAGACTAGTGTACCTGTTGCTCAAATTCGAGCAATTGCTAAGTATTATAGGTGTTATTTTAAAACGAATAACGGTCATAATGTCTGATGACTTTAAAAGATTCGACTCAAAGATTATGAAAATACTCAGGTAAATATATTTCATTTCAACCAAGTCAGTACGGTAAATGTTTGTAGCAAACTCCTCGTTCCCACCACCAACCCTGACTTAGGTCTGGGACTTATTTGGCAAGCCAATTCCCGGTGAAAATCTTCTTTCTTTTTAGGCTTCAGCCACTGTCAATCCTCGTCTAGACACATTATGTGTCCAAAAGCCTAGCCGCATGACTCCCTTCCCCATACCGCCCTGAGCGATAGGGATCATTGAGGTTCGCTCTAACCTTTACCATCCCCTTCATGGGCAAGTTTTCATTCCTTTTCTTTCTTAGTTTTTGTATAAAAATTTTTATATATGTATATATATTTATTTATATATATATATATATATATATAAGTTACGTCCGTGAACGTGAAACTTGAGTAATTTTTGTCCGATTTTGATTAAATTTGGTTTATAGGTGTAAGGCGGGATAAACTTGAATGAGTTCGCGAACCAGCATGATCGGACCATGGGAACGGGGTATTATATGGGGTAAAAATGGTTTTTCTCATTTTTGACCCTCAAAACACAAAATTTCCCAATTTTTCCTTAGACCTTATTAAAGAGCTTAAAAAAAATTAGTACCGGTATACAAAGTGTTTTTGTACGGTTATTGGTAACGGAGAAAATTCAAAAATTGTAGATTTAAAATTCCCATGTTATTCTTATGGAGAATATTGTAAAATGTTGTAGTATGCTTGTGTATTGATATATTTTTATCAAACTTGGCAAATTTATTAATTTTGTACTAAACTATTAATATTTTACTAAAAAATACACTTTATTAGTTTCCTTGTAGCAGCAAACCTAGGTACTCGTTAGACCTAAATGTTATTTAAATAGTTTAATTGAAAATCAATTCAGAGAAATGGAAATTCGCTTAGTCGGCAGGTTTGCTGCGGCGGGGGTATTTTTATATATTTTTAGCTTTGCTATCTTGCAGGTTTGTTGACGGTTGCCCTGTCTCTCAAGTGCTCAAGCCATTTAAATACTTTCTGGTTAGTATTAGTAAGACGTGATCTCTGTTTCTTTTGTAAGTTTTCTCATTACAGTCTCGCACAATGTAAGATCTCGAAGTCTCCGCAAAATTATTCTCTCTTGGATATCGTGGTCTAGAAGTCTGTTGCTTCCCTAGGCCCTCGAATAATTGTTTGTATCTGCAAAATGACTTCTCCATGGATTGAAATCCAATAGATGTAGACTCCATAGTGGATAAGCTTTAAATTGATACCCATTATGCCTATAAAAATAAATATTTATGGATTGATTTGCTGGACACAAAAATCCAACAAATTATTTTAATGATATAGATGTGGACGGCACAATGCATGGCTATCAACTCCTTAAAAAAATAACAAAATTTTCAGGTGTCTATCTTCTTTTGGTGTAGATGAATAATACAATCTTAGTTAAACCATTCATAAAGAAGTGTTTTATGACTGTTCAATGGCAATTTTGGTCAGAATTGCATCAAGTGAGACTCTCTGAAATTAAATCGTAATGCACATAAGGAAGAGTAGAAAATGAAAATTGTACACACACACACTAAAAATAAACTGGTGTAATTTGTTTCACAATGTGACAACCATTCTTCTCTCAAAAGCCAAAAATCAGATGTCTATATCTTATGCAACGGTGCAATAAAGTGGATGGTTAAAAACAAGATACAAATTAAATTGAGTTTATAAATAGAGAAGAGTTAATTTTATTTTTTTTAAATTCAGACATATAGCAGAATGAGTATGAAGTATTTATACACTAAAACTTCTGATGCTACCCTTTCAACTTCAGAAAAATATTTTTACTATTTCAATCCAGGAAAACTGGACCCATGACCCGTTTGCTGCTGAAAAGGACGAGGAAGGAAATATTTATGGAAGAGGAGCACAGGACATGAAAAGTATTGGAATACAATATCTAGAAGCAATAAGGAGACTAAAAAAAGATGGTGTTGCACTGAAGCGAACCGTACACTTGTCTTTTGTACCAGGTACGAATGTTTGTTGAGAATAGTAACAATTTATCTTTGGGTTAATGCTTAAGTTTAAATGACAGTTTTGAGGTGAAAATAGAACTGGCTAATCATTGTTACGATTAATGTCTGAAAAAAGACAAGTAGGAACAAAGAAGGTAGGAATTATGTTTGGGTGGTCAGGTAGGAGTCTTCTTTTTAAATTCTTAAGATGTCTCTTAATCCAGAGAACAAGACCACGTTTGAATCATTACCTTGGAAAACCATAAGAATTCCCTAATTTTTAAAGGACTTCTGTGACTAATATTTGATCATTGACTATTGGATACTGTATTGATAGTCAAAGATTTGATGTAACTAATGGAAATATCTTAATACCAAATACCCATCCAGCACCAAGCTTAAGAATTAAAACACCTGATTACTCGTAAAAACATTTTCTTAATACCTCCCAGAAATAGGTAGCTTTACTCTTTTCCAATGTTGTAGTTTAACCTTTGTTTACCTAAGTAATGCTTTGCTGAATGTATCCAGCAAATTCAATTATTAATTCACTTCCTAGTAATGTTTGTGTCTTTTATAAGATTCATCACAAATTGTTTTGAGGTAGATGAAGAGGAAGGAGATAGCGGGATGCGTAAGTTTGTTAACACTCCAGAATTCCGAAGCCTAAACATTGGCTGCTCACTTGACGAAGCTAGATCTTGTCCTGAAGATGCATTTTATGTTTACTATGGAGAACGAACAATATGGAGTGAGTATGTAATTTTGTCATAAATATATTTTGCGATGTACCTATTATTAAAACTTGTTTGTGCTACAACAGTAGAACCCAAAATGTCCGAGCTTGTAATCTGAAGATCACTGGATGATTCTGAATGCTGAAATCCTCAAAGTTTTTGATGGAAACTGGACTCAGCGCTTAAGATTTTCTTTCCGAACAGCTCTGTCCTTGAGCTCTAAATAACTTAATTAGGACCAGATGGCATTACATTTGGACTTTTAAATTATTATAATTTAAGATTTGGCCCATCACTTAGTCAGGAGCAAATTCTTGACATGAATCATTGCACTACCCATTATTTAATATTGAACATATTATGAGTTTAATGCTGTACCCGCGAGCTTTGCCCCGTTTAACTTCATAAGTATTCGCATGGCTCAATCACGTCCTGGTTGAAGTTTGTTCTCTACGCTCACTCACCTTTAGGATGGAGCTCGTTCGCTGCGCTCACTTGCCTTCAGGTTAGCTCGTTCGCTACGCTAACTCGCCTCCAGGTTGAAGTTCATTTGCTACGCTCACTCACCTTTTGGTTGCAAATTAGCTGTTGTCATAAATTTAAAAAAATAATAGTGCTGCAGTGCTGCACCCTGTTGGTAATCCTTGTAACTTTAATGCTATCGAACATCATAGAACAGAACCAACTTGTTTAATTGAAACAGCTGTTAAGATTCATTAATTCCTTTTAAATATGAAAAATCATAAGGTTAACATGGGAAACTCAGAGCCACTGGGGCGGAGCCCGAAAGCCTGATCAGAATAAAAAGTACTTAGTTTTCCTATTTAATGCCCAAAGAATCGGTGTACCGAATTTCAGCCTCCTAGGTAAATGGGAAAAGGGAGAATTAGTGATGAGTGAGTGAGTGAGTGAGTCAGTGAGTCAGTGAGGGCTTTGCCTTTTATATATTTAAGTATATTTCAAGGATAGAGGTATTGAAAATTATTTGCTGTAAACAAGTATGTTGTTTATCCGCCATTCTTTTGCTACCCGTCATATCTGACCTTGTTGTGTTTCAGCTTTGTCTTCCACCAGAAGATCACCACTTAAACCCCTGACCCTGTTAAAAGACATAAACTTATCATTAGTCATTAGTCTTTTATAAATGGTCACCTGACTTAGAACCAACTGTAAATGGCCAGTAAAAAAAGTTGTTGCCTGTCTTAAAATACACAGTGTCTCAGAATAGTTTGAATCTAATCTAATTGTAATAAATGATTCTACTGCATAAAAAAATGTAAAATAAAAAAAAAAACATTAATATACTGATTATCCTAAAAGTAGTAGCTCACCAATACTGGAAAATACTCACTACAATTGCTTGCAGGACCTGTGGTGACTTGCCGAGGAAGCACGGGTCACGGGTCGGCCATGGTAAGAGATACAGCAGCGGCCAAGACGAGAGTCGTCATTGAGAGGTTCCTGGACTGGAGACAACGAGAGCAGGACAAGCTAGACACCAATCCTCAACTTAGTGTCAGTGACATCACTACTGTCAACCTCACTCTTCTCAACGTAAGTTTACATCGCAGAGTTGAAAAACACCAGTTGATTAGAATATCTCACAACAGCTGGATAGACCTTGATGCTTATGTAACTAAAATATTGCAAAGTCAGTGTAAGAGAAGATGCATAAATGGAAAGTTTGAATCAACCTCTAGATGAGAATTTATCTATACCTAACAATACAGTTAACAGATTCATTTACCATTTTTGCTGCCTGTTCTCAATCATGCATGTCAAGGGCCGCTTTAGTAAATGAGCCTGTGGGCCCAGACCCAAGATTGCAAGAGATTAAAAGGTTTATTGGGAGCAAGAGGAATAGAACAATCTCCCAGGGCCGTCCTTAGGGTTGGCGGCGCCCGGAGCAAACGTGGTCGTGGCGCCCCCTCCCCCCCACCCCCAGTAGGTAATAGTCGCATTCGCATATTTTAATACTGTGTTAATACAAACAGCCGCTGCGCGGCGCCCCCTCTGCCACGACGCCTGGGGCAGCTAGCCCCGGTTTCCCCCCCCTTCGGACGGCCCTGCAATCTCCATGCAATGAAGAGTGGAGGGAGGCGCAGTTATCCCTCGGGTCGGGCCCATAGAGCATCTCATGCAAACCACAGGCCAGATATTCGTAGTGTGGTTTCCTAAAAGAGATGTCCTAGGAAACTAAAGAAAGCCATTTGCCTCATCTTTTTATACATGTTTCTATATTTTTAAACAAGCTATCATGTTCTTAAGTTTAAAGTGTAGTCAGACATGACCATTATAGTAGGCCTATTGTGAATTACTGAATTATCAATGCAGTTTTAGCAAAATATGTACTTACTTTAACTGTTTCACTCCCATGGCCATTATATCCAAGAAGGTATTTAGCCTCACTCACTACTTTCTCTGACCCTATGCATCTTCTTCATTGGCTTTTAACAGTGTTGTCTTCAATTACTTCAACTTTCAACTAAAATCTCATTCATCTTGAATTAGATCCTATTTACTCTATATACAAATAAAAATTAATATATTGATATAAAAGACAGGACAACGTCTGTCGGGTCATCTAGTAATAAATAAAAATGTCAGACAACATTCAATCACTTGGATTAATTACAAACTTAATTATAATTTACACAGGGAGGAGTGCAAATGAACGTTGTACCAGCTGAAATCACACTAGGATTTGATATTCGTCTCTCAAACGATAATGACTTCCAAGAGATCAGCGACATGCTGGATGGGTTCTGTAGGGAGGCTGGGGAAGGGGTGACCATAGAGTACAAGAGTAAAGAACCCATGGTGACTCCCACGAGGATAGACGACACTAACCCTTGGTGGACTGCGTTTAGAAAAGCTGCCGATGAAATGTAAGTAAATTAATTTTTTTATTCAATTTACTAAACACTTGAGTAAAATTGCTATTGGGTATTTATGATTTTTTTAAATAGCTCAACTTCTTTGGTAATTAAAACATCCCTCATATCATTGTCCGTATTTGCAATTTTAACTTAACAAGCTGTTGGCCCGTCCTACGTACGGGAATCGAGTAGTATATTAAAACTGTATATAGTGTGTGCTCAAAAAATAAATTAGAATATCTAGTATTTTGCTATGTATACTTAAATAAACTCTCATCCTCTTACCGAATAAATGAAAGTATCAATAGTTATATCATTACACATAGTATAAATAAGTCAATTCTACGTATATCATTTCATTTTCAATGCCAAATCATTTCCAAATGCTGAATTTGTGTCGAAAACGCTTAATGTTTACATCTGTTACGTTAAGCAAATTGTATTATACTAAAAGCTTGAGTATAATGTTAGCGTCGGCTGCTAGACTTTTTAAAATTTAAAACTTAGTTTCTAAAAACTGAAACCCTAAACTAAAATTATGGCTTCGACATTCCCTAGTTCTCAAAATTATCTTTCTTTCAACATAAAAATCATGAAAATCCGTCAAAGTAGTTGATTCAGAATCGTTAAATAAAAAAACCCTGTCACGTTTTAATAAATACTAGTGGTCGTCCAGTGGTCGAAAACTCGACCCAAAGGCCAAAACATGCAATGTTCTTGTATTGACTTTTGGATACTGAAGTAGACATCCCATCTATATGGACCAGCTGTCGCAATTTGTTTTACACATAGTTTTGTGAGCCAGTCACCGAATGCATGTCTTAAATTCTAGGCCTATTTTCTACCTTATTTTTTGTTGCTGACAAATTTAATTGTGGATTAGTTTTAGGATTCTATTTCTGTATCAACATTTAGGTCTGATTGGTAGCTGGAGTAACCAAGCTGTTGTTCAATAATATGCCAATAGCACACTTCAGAGTAACAACTAGATAATCATGATTAGATTTAGTACCCAAATCAATAATTTAAGTGAAATTAAGTAGGCTACAAGGCTTCCCATAATTTAAGGTATCCAACAAGTCACAACCAAGGGATGTCATTCATATCTAAGACACAGACAAGCCCTTTGTTACTTACTTTATCCACTGTACAAGCTGGTTCCAACCTTCCAACCCCTATGAGGATTAGTCTAGTCATAGTAGCTGAAAACTATGTGAAGGAAAGTTTACGCATGTAAGTAGGAATCACATTTTGTGATTAGATTTCTCTTGTCTACTTGATACTTGATACTTACTTGATACTTACTTGATACTTGTCTTCTTTATCTTTGACCGTGGTTACGGATTGATAGGTATCCATTTTATAGGTTTTATAGGTTTCCATTTTATAGGTTTCCATTGATAGGCATCACTGCTATTGAACAGTAAATCATCATTTGACAGACGTAGGAAAAGTAAAGTGTTCTAACATAAAACTGTTGCGTGGTGAAGGGAGTTTGAAAGGGATCGTAAACATTTGCTTGATGTTAATGATTTTTCCATGGTGTATGCTGGCTGTGGTCATCATCAGTCTTGCTTGAGGCAGTAGAGTGAATGAGAGATTGTCAGAACTGATAGGGAACATAAGACTATCAAGTACAATGGTAAACCCTGATAGTCTTAAGTGATAGGTAAGCAAGGTTTCCTCAACTATAATCACTGTTTCGTTGGAAACTGTTGATCACTCGTCATATACGGTTGGGAACTGGGTAAAATATTTAGTGCATTAAGTAATGAACATGGTATTGGTCTTAGATTTTAACTAGCTCGTTTATTCACAATGTGAGATATACAAAGGCCTAATTCACGGACAGCACTTGTATGTAAATGACTTACTTTGTTTTTTTTTCAGGAAAATTACTTTAAAACCAATAATAACACCGGGAGGAACTGACAGTCGGTTTCTGAGAAAAGTGAGTTGTAGTAAAAATACTTATTTGTAATTTACCACTGATTGTGCTTATTCCATTAAAACCCACAATGAGGTTGTGTATTAATAGCTATTTACATTACAAGTGTAGTAAGAGCGTTTTTACATCACGCAGGTGAATGTTGTGCAACGAGCGTAAGCGAGTTGCATAATTGACCTAAGTGATGTAAACACGCTCTTGCGTAACGTGTAACGTACAAGATTTTACCTGACCCGACAATATACATGGGGTAACGTAAAATATTTTTCATTATCCATTTCACTCATCTTCTAAGAGTAACGTTCTTTTACAAACAAAAGCTAGGTTAGGAAAATACTTTAAATCATAACAATAACATTCAAGCGCACAGCTGATTTCTAGCGTTGAACGTCGTTGGCTCCATAGAGGTATAATTTTTAAGTTAAACACTCAATGTTATTTAAATGGGTTTCATTACCTCACCGAGTGAGTTTTTTTCAACTTTACATCACTCGAGAAGTAAGGAAGTTGTATACATCACGCTTGGGATAGGGAAGTTTAACATGGCGGGTTAGGTAAAGTAATAAAATTACTGTAGTACATCTGTTTATCAGCAAATCATTCCTTAGTACTGAATATCCAAGTTAGTTTTTTATCCTCCAGCTTTTTCATATTTTTTGTTTCAGCTTGGAATTTCTGCATTTGGCTTCTCTCCTATGAATAACACCCCGACTCTTCTGCATGATAACGATGAATTCCTAAATGAGAAAACTTTTCTGCAAGGGATCGATGTATATTATGGACTAATAAAAGCATTGGCTAACCATTAATTTTACTGTAATGTGATTTACAATTATCATGTTGAATAAAAGTTTTAAAGTTAGTGCCAGAAGCAAATATAATTTTGAACCCATTAAAAAACTAACAACGTATTTGCATTTTTGTGTTTCACAAAAGCATTGAGTTTAAATTATATTGCAGTGTATTTATAGTACTGTATTCTTAATTGTAAGTATTATAGGTAAGCTATCTGAATGCATGAAAATAGTCAAATCAATTATTAATGTTACATAAAAATGCTTATAATAGGACATTTCAGTAAGTATAAATAACGAATAAACATTTTATTTCATTTCAGTAAGGTGTCTCGTCAATTATTGATATAATCTACTTTATAATACAAACTTAATCTATTTGCACAAATAATACTTAGAATAAATACTTAATCTACTTGCAAAATCTTTGTGATTTGCTTGACTGGTTTGGTAATCTAAGATTCTTTGTAAGAGGTATTGGACTTAAATCCTTCTGTGGTTAACCAATGCCTCTTTCAAGAGGTAACGCAAAATACTGTAATTAATATACTGTATTTTGCAGACTAAACAAAATCCTACATGCATTATAAAAAAAATAGTAGGCTCTTGAAAACTTAAATATGAAATAAAGAATAAGTTGTGAAAAAACCATATAAGATTATAAGGTTTTTAATAATTTAAATGGGATTGTCACTTTGTGTGTAATGTTAAATATCTTGCATGGTGTACCCTATTTTAGAAATTTCTTACACAAATGAAACAATTGTTTTCAAACAGAATTATTCCATAAATTGGCAAGCATTAAAAAGTAAATATAAAAGGCAAAATGCTTCAATCAAAGTGTGATTTACAGTCACCATAGTTCACCACAACTTGGGTCACATAAAATTATTTCTTGATAAAAATGGGAACTTTGGAAAGATTTAAAAGAAATGTTTTCGCAAGGATTGTAAATTATTGTAATTTTTTGTTTATTTTGTGGTCTAAAAAAACTCTAAATGATCTAAAAAAAGTGATCTAAAAAAATCATTTGAACCTATATATATATTTTTTCTTTTATCTAGAAGGCACATAGTGTTTACATAGCAAGAGAATATCATATCACTTTTTTTTGTTCACTGTTGTTTTTAACACTTCACCATCTTATTCTGCATTACAAAGGCGCAGCCAGAGATAGAATCCTGGATATTTACTGTAATCACATCCTCTTCTTATAAACATTTTATAGAAGGAAGGAAGAAAACTTAAACTAAACTTTGTAGTTCAAATAGGTACTATTTACACTATTAACAGTGGATTTTTGTGGCCCAGTTCAGGAACCATACAATTAAGGGAACCTCCAATGTTCTTCGGTTGAGCACGGTTTCTCAGAGATCTACATTTTCATTTTTATTGTTAACAATGTTCACGTTAGTCACTTTATTTATTACACTTAAGGCTGCCTCTAGCAGAATTAGAACATTCTTTATGTCTGGTACAGTATGTATAGTATCAAAAATACTAGATCATAGTTTAGACAACCAAGAAAGGAAGAAACAGGCCCGAGAATTTTTGTTAAATGAGTTGATGAACTAGACAGTTACTTAATTTTGTTAATGAACACCATTCATTATTATTCACTGATTTCAGATGAGAGATTGAGCTTAACCACTTCAGCACCCGTTTGAAACCATTGTGGAGGCGGAACTGTAACAATCTTGAACACATTTTGTCGAGAGTCAGGTTTCATGTCAGAAGAATGCCAATCTCCTTCTGACTCTACTATTTGTGTCTTTGTAGAAACATACCTTTGTTTTGCCGCAGTAGTATTTTCCACCATTTGTTCTAAACCTGTTTCATTTGCATCGTAAACTTCACCAGATTTGGACGCACTTTCAGAACTTTCGCTAACTTTAGTATTATCAATTTGTAACTCAGATTCTTTTCCACTTTCGCTTGAGGAATTGGAAAACTCATCTTGCTGGAATGTGTGGTTCATTCCGTCAAGTGATATTGAAGAGATGGATAGAGAATCACTGGTAGAATCGTTTGAGACAAATCTTTTGACCAATTGTCTGACTTCATTGTTGCTGTCTATAAAGTACGACATACTGTCAAGTAACGAGTTCTGAGTTGACTCGTCCAGTGATGTGTCTTCAGACTCATCTTCTGATCCTGTTTTAAACTCACTTGGAAGCCATGTTTGACGTGTTTGGTTATTGTTACTATCCGATAGATCTGTTGTACCAGTTGTATTATTTTCCTTTAAAATATCTGTAACATTGGTTATTCTTTCCGGAAAGTCATATTTTGTTAATTCATTGCTAGCAGTTTCTGAAATTTCATTTTCGGTAGTAGCCACAAAAGAAGTTGAAGAATCGGTTTGGTTTGAAGACTCGACTGAGGAAATTTGTTTTGAAGGTAACAAACATCGTCGGTCCTTATAATTTGAGATGTTGAAATATCTGTTGAAAAAATTCGGAGTGCAAGTTTTTGGAACTATTGTACAAACTAACGGCTTACAGCACATATCAAAATCCTTGTACACATTAACTGGACACTGCAACAAAAATTTGAGATACAATTTCTATTAAGGTATACTCCAAAAGTAAAAAATTTAATGTAAACCATTTTTGTTGGAGATTGTGCACATTTTACTCAATGAAACTATATAATTTAATTTAATAAAGTTCACTGTTTTGAAGATAAAAAATTTAAGAGTCGTTGGAGGATAGCGGCCGTCTTGGATTTGCCCGCCATTGAGACTACCTAATATTATAAATGACTACTTTCAGGTTAATAAAAAAAAACACTTGTTTAATGATGATATTGCCTTAATATTGTTAAAATAAACTAATGATTAAATTGACTTGTTTGACTTAAACTCAATTAACTAAAAATTCTTCTTCCCTAATCAATATGGCTATAACCTCTTTTAGTTTGAGTACAAACACTAGTGGCATTTTTATAAGAAAGACACAAACGTTTTAGATGATTCAAATGTATAAAATTTGTTTGGCATACTGTATGTACTAGGATAAAATCTCTTCTCCAAACTGAAGTCTGAAACACTAACCTTAGGCTAGCAACACAAAATATCACCAAATTAGATACGTAGTTGGTAACGAATTGTTGTTGATTTTTGTAATTTTATACTATTTATATTATTTATACAAACTGTCTGTTAGTTTCTTTTTTATGTATAAACTGGGGATGATTTTACAAATGAAATAAGTTGTCTATTTATGAGTTTAATATTTATATTTGAAATTTACTGTAAAACAGTAAAACATAACATAATACTTACGTGAGCGTTTTCCCCCAGACAAAATCTTGTTCTTGAAACAATTTCTGCCCAAGATGGAAATGAGGCTTGAACTAAATTCACCAAACAAATAAGGCTGACACACCAAATCATCCTACAACTCACAATCTCTGATACCAATCAAGATCATATCTGGTTTTGATGTTTTGAGATGTGATTCACTCAATATCCAGTGCCAAAAGAATATCGTCAATAAAATATTATTATTATCCTAAAAATATGGATGTGGGCTTTTACGAGGAGTGTTCTTGAAGAAAGTCTCGCGTTTATAAATGGGCCCGAGCCCAGAAGCGCAAGAGTTTTTGTTTTCTTGGGGGGGGTTGAAGCAACAGAAAATTTTTAAATCGTGCGACAGTAGAATCCTTCTAATGCTCAGTTCCCACTCAATACTGCCACTGCTTGCATGTCTCTCTACTTGTTCCATCTTATATTTATTTGTAATTCATGTTTAATATCATTTGATCATTATCACCACCAATCTCAGTTCCTTTTGTACAATCAAGTGAGAAACGTATTATCAGTTGACTAGTGAAAAAAAGTTGTGAAAAAGTTGTTGTGTTTTTGCTTATTATTTTATTTATGTTCGATGAGATCCTTTATTTTACAATCACACGCTTTTTCTATGAAATTATCAAAAAAGTGGCAGTGAGTTTAGAAATAAGGCTGCAAAAAGTGTTGTACAATGAAAAATGTTACATAAAATTCCTAAATAAGTGTTTTTTAAATTAATTAAAACTTTGCCTGCAGGAACTGACGGTTTAGGTTAACAACCCAACTATACTGAACCATTAAAGAGCTGGTGAACAGAAAATGATGTAATTTTAATAATAAACTTTGAAGATGTCGTTAATGTGCAAAAAATTTAGAAAAAACCAGTCATGTAAAGTGTTGAGTGTTTAGCGTTGTAAATGTTTGTAGTAACATCTTAAATAAAAACAAAATTTGTTGTATTCAAAGTTAGTAATTTTGTATAACTATACCCATTTTACTTTTAAAAAAGTACCCTTGGAAATAAAAATAATTTGTATAGAAGTAACAGTATTTAATTGACGTTTTATATTTTACTTTACTTTGAAAATTTTAGCAACAATCAAAAGTGAGCACATGAAAACTAGCCTTATCTTTGTTAAACTGCGGATGTGCGTGAAAATCGTACAATGCATATTTTATTTTCATTTTATGATTTTTATATCAATGTTGCCGATGGGGGGGGGCAGGCACAACTACCTCTCGGGCCCATAGCTTGTCACATACAGTACGAACCACGGGCCTGCTCGAAGTAAATGTGTAAAACCATCTGTGATTTATTTAAAAAACTGCTTTTAAATTTAGTATCAACATGGTTTGACATTATGGGCAAACAAATTGACTGGTATTATTATCATATGGCTTTTTAGTGGAGGGGCTTCTACAACACAGAAAAAATTTTCCTTGCCTGAAAAACGTATCCTAATTTTATTTTCTGGATTGGCAGCAATTTGATTTCAACCCATTTTATACAACTCGTTTTTTTGTACGCATAAAATTGCTTGCTATTTTCAATGAACATCAAGTAAAATGGATCTCTAGGTGAATCACGCTGTTATCACATAAACAGGGGATAGTCAGGATTCAAACCCTAACTCAAGGACAGAAGTCCAACTCTAAACTCCAAACCAGATGATTGTAATATTCAATCAGTGACTTAGAGTGTAGTGTAGGCCTACTTAGATTGCTATCTGCCAATGAGAAAATGCCCAGGTTGCAGTGTTGCCACCGCGTTGTTGCGATTTTACCCTAAAGGCGGGCTAAAATTACCCTAAATTACCCTAAATCTACTTTGAGTTACCCTAAAAATTACCCTAAATGTTAATATTTGTGTTTAATGCTATAAAACATTGTTAAAATCATATAAATCTTACATAAGGTGGTTAATTATACTAAATGAAGTTCCAATATCAATCAATTTACGTAAAATTATACTCGATTCTAAAAACCCACCCGAATGAAGAACAAAATGTTGATTTTGACAGCCTATCGACTATCGTATAGCGAAAAAATCGAATCAAGAACTGTCGTATTTTTTTACTGTATCGACCCATTACTACTGTTTTTGAACAATCATATCTTTAAAATACAGTACGGTACCACCAAAGCTTTAATCTAAGTAGTAATTTCTTGACACAATTTGTAAAATAATCCAGCAATTCAATCACATAATTAAATATCAAACCCAGTAATGAATAATATTTCATATTTTATTAGGCCTATAATGTGTTATAGAATCGAATACATTCTAAAACAGATAATTCCCAACTATTGATAAGATCGATTAGGATAACTTTTTATAATGAAAAATTCATCATAGCAATCGATTTAAACCGGTTGAATCGAATATGATGGTTTGGCCATAGTATGTAATGAACGTTTTTTGCCAAATTTTGAAGTTTTTTTCATTTTTTTAGCAAAGTTTCCATTGTTATGCTAACTTATAGTTTTACCCTAAAATTACCCTAAATCTACTATTACCCTAAACTTTACCCTAAGACCAGTAAATTACCCTAAAAAAGGGTAATTACCCTAAAAGTGGCAACACTGCCAGGTTGTAACTATAACAATGGATTGGTTTTTGTCCAATTTATATTAAAAGTTTACAACTTTTCAAAAATACATTTACATTATAATTCAGCCTAGATAGTTTTGTTAATCATAATACAGTAGACTCCCTCTTGTCCGGACTCCTCGGGACTGAGGCCAGTCCGGATAATGGGTTTTCCGGTTAAACTGACGTACCCAAAAACTCGTTAAAACGGACTGTTTACTGTGATATTCCACTTAAATTTAGGAGAGCATTGTATTTAGACACGTGATCACTGGTCTCAAATCTTTCCCAAGAGAACAGTCTTTTCAGTACTGCCCACTTCCTGCCGATCTAGTCCAGTTAAGCCAATGTGCTGATAAAAGTTGCCCGGTTAAAGAGATGTCATTTCCGCCAAGTGTAGTCCAGTTAAAAGGTGTCCGGATAAGAAGGGAGTCTACTGTACAAAGAAAAACTTAAACCTTTCTTAAACTAAACAAGCAATACACACAAGGTAAATAATTTTCTTTTTTCAATACACAATAGAGTGAATATTTATTCCTTTAATATTTACAATTTATACACAATATTATTATCAGTATTTATAACAATACTTACATCAACAGAAGGTATGAATCTAGTAATGTTGACTATACAGGGTGATCAACTCAAGGAGGACACCATTAGGATATCGGAAATGGTAGGAATTAGAGAAAACAGAAAACTTTGAATGGCGGACATTCTTTTATTTTTGTAGCAGTTAAAAATATGAATTTAGTTTTTCAAAATTCAGCCGCCATTTCTCAACATGACGGCCAACTTTGAAATTTTTTATGAAAGATCCTATATTTTATCAAGTTTTTGGACAGAACATGCAATTTAAAAACTTTTTTATTCTTGACATTTTTTCTATAAAGCTAGCCCCCTACTTGTTTAGGAGTTACAGCCTAAGAAAAAAATACTTCCGGTATACATTTTGCATCATGTAGATCCTAAACGAGTAGGTTTATAGCAAAAATGCTACGAGAAATAAGTTTTAAAATTGCATCTACATACCAAAAAGACAATAAAATACACCGTTTTCCACTTTTCAAATATGTTGCCATTTTGGAAAATGGCCGCCATTTTTGAAATAATATAATGAATATTTTTACATATTTTATGATGAACTACATGATGCAATGTTTACCGGAAGTAATTTTTTATAAGCTGTAACTCCTAAACAAGTAGGGCCCCCTGGCTTTATAGAAAAAATCTCAAGAATAAAAAATTTTTAAATTGCATGTTCTATCCGCAAACATTATAAAATACGTACAAAGAAATTTCAAAGTTGGCCGCCATATTGGAAAATGGCGGCTGAATTAAAAAGAAACTAAATTCATACTTCTTTTATCTGCTACAAAAAATAAAATAATTTCCCCCATTTAAAGTTTTTTCTAATTCTTACCATTTCCGATATCTCAATGGCGATATCAACCTTGAGTTGATCACCCTGTAGATACCCTAGCAAGAAGTATACATTCCATTCTCATGTTAAAGTTGTAATCAGTAAAAAAAATAAAAAAAAATACTAAGTTCAATTCTCAATTTTAATTTCTTTAATGGCCTATGGTCAGTTGACAGTCTTGACACCTTTAGCCAAACCAAAACTGTACTTAAACCTATTCCATCCCCATGTTAAATTTGTAGCCAGGTTTTTTATCAAAATCGTCGTAGTTGATGTGTGTCACCCACAGATTGCGCTGATCTAAATTACTAAATTCTGTCAAATACACCTGTTTACCAAGTTAAACTTATGGAATGACTCATGATGAGTTATAGCAACTGTTATGACCCATCAACCTGGTCAGCAACAAAAGATAAGTATCAAATAGAATTTTAAACACTAACACGTTCTGTGACTGGCTCACACAACTACGTTATTTTTTATAAAAAAATTCTTATGATCAGCAATATCATTATTTATTTTCCTTCAACTACCTTTAAAGTTAAAATTTAAAGATAAAATAGAATATCATTTTTGTACAGACTACGACTGATTAATTAACATTTAAGCTTTCATTCTTAGAGAAAAAAAAAACTAACAGCAACTGCTCCATATATATATGGGATGTTAACTTCAGAATCCCAAGTCAATGCTATAAATAAAAATTATGAATCATATCACACATCAAAGCTTTAACAATTTTCTAAAAATTCAACTTCAATACAATAATTTGAAAGATTATTATGAAACACCAGCAGCTAGTAATCCAATTAATTAAATATATTTCCTTCATTCATCAAGTTTGCCACATTATAAAGATAACATATAAGAAAACCCGAATCATTAATTAATTTTTTTTTGTATTTTTTACTGAAACAGAAGTGAGGAATACATTGCAAGGCTTGCAAAGCTTAGTTTTTGAAAAGATACTCGTACCAAAATGAAAATATTGCGCAAAAATGTGAATCAACCTTTAAACTCTATAAGCATAGAGTGAATAATGAACATTAATGAAAAATGAATTAATCTTAGTGGCAATAATGTTAAAACAAAAATCAACTATCATGTAACATATTTTGGTGAAATTCTCATTTAGCTATTACCGTAGGTCTCTTGGTAAGACCTAAACCGAGAACCACTTTAATTTTTCATTTTGATGCTTCCAGAAGCCAAAAAACACAATCCGTTCAAATTCATAATGAATGTGTCCGTTAATTAGCACGATAATTGAATCAAAATCATCCGATTTCGATGAATTTCGTAAAACAAGTAAATCTACATTAATTTGGGTGAGTTCGCAAATCAGCAACGGGGTTTTATAGGGTGGAAATTGGGTTTTCTCATTTTTGACCCTCTACATCTAAAATTTTGCAGTTTATTTAAAAAAAATTTTGTAGAGTTTAAAACCAATAACTTAGCACATTGAAGCATGGTACTTCTAAAATAGTTACAGATAAAATGTATAATAACCATACATTTTCAATTCCTATGTTAATCTTATATAATCAAATCTTTTGGAAAATAAGTAAACTGTTGTAGTTTATTTGTTTACTGATACCTTCAATCTATTAGGCCTTAAATATTGGTATTTAAATATGAAATACTAAGTGGATTTTTACATTTTGAGATGTAGATTACTCTAAAAACTAAACAGAATAAACAATAAAAATAAAATTCATAGAAATATTCTTAGGTAAACAAATTATAAATCTACAAGACCTAAAATAAATATAAATTAAACTGTACTAAAATCATTAAAGCTAATAAATTAAATACAAGTTTGCCACTGAGTCGTCCAAATTCATAACACTAAACTACAGCGATAACATGGAGTAAGCTTGAACACCTTAACAATTTAAGTTGCAAATCTAAAGCTAACGAGTGCAGTAAACGTGTTTTATACATTACAAATGTTAAGACAATGATTATTAGGAAAGTTCAAAAGCCAAATGTGTTCGTAGTTAGATTAGAGGAACAATATTTATTGTAGACGAGTTTAATGTACAAAGAACACTGTTGGGACAAAATCACAAAGATAAAAATACACATATTACATATATACAAAAGCAAAACATTCACCTCTTGATAAACCAATTTTAAATATACAATACTTGACTAGTACTGTACAAATAGCAATAAATTACAAGAATATTTATTTACAAAACTCAACGACTAACGATCACGGTGCTCAGCCTAATAATACAAAGCGCATAGAATATTTAGACGTATTGTAACTGGAATATTACATTATTATTCGTATAAGTTACGCATCGAGTAAAATAACTGAATCATATAATCCTTTGTTAAATGCTTTACAAGTTAAGTGTTTGCACAAGCATTTACAGTATATCCTAAAGTAAAATAAACATTAAATAACAAAGTCAACATAGTGTTCCAAAGCACAGTAATAAAACTTATTGTGCTTAGGAAGAATGCAGTTTATACAAAACAATACAGTTCTTAAAATATAATTTTTACAACATCATAAAGCAATATTTTTCCTTTCTAATGCATGTGCATATTACGATTAAATAAAGAAGCGTGTTCAATTTAATTACAAAACTAAATTATTAAACTATTTGATTCCATAATTGCCTTGATATTCACAAAAAAAGGTAAAATCAGAGCCTCTATGCAAAAGTTGATTAAAATCTTGTTATTTTTTTAGATAAATATTAAATAATTAAAACTGATATGTACAAAATAATAACAACAAGCAAGAAATGGTAAACAAATTGCTATTGGAGGAAAGAATCCCTCGTCAACAATATTTAGAGAAATTGTTTCCAAATACGACATAACTGGACCAAAGTAGACTAGACAGTAATGGTTTTATTTCTAACTTTTCTTAAGTATTCAATAGTTATTTAACTAACAAGAAAATAACATAATACATTACTGGATATAATAGAAAAGTACTAAAAATAAATACTAACAAGACCAGGGTTTGAACTTTCAATAAAAAAAACTTAAATATGCCACTGGTATTGGAATATAAAAATAATAGTTATTTTTGTAACTAATGCACAAAGTAGGACTTTGCGCTCACCTTACACATTATAGTTTTCCTACAGTTACTATAAACAAATCATATCAATCTTTAAGTCTTTTAAACACTAAACAACACATTTTAGGTAAGGTTAAATCCAAGCGTTGAACAACAATAGAACGTTACATGAAACAACAGGTTAAGTCGTAGTATCAATACTAAATAGCTGTGAAACGCTGCACCAGCTGATCGTAGTATCTTTGGTGTTGCCGATTTATTTTCAAGCATACACTATTAGGTGTCTTATAAAAGCACACTCTATTGTTTTGTTTGGTTGGAAAACTGGAGTGTGGCAAGTAAAATGAGTGCGGTAATAGTTATTTGTGCAACTAGTGAGAAAAGTGCTTCACTCGAGAAACCATTCCTCACTCGCCTACGGCTCGTGAGTAAGGATTTCTCTTAAGTGAGTCAATTGTACTTTGAACTCAAGTTACACATTATACTTTTCCTACAGTTACCATAAAACAAATAAATTGTGAAGAAACATAACCTATTTTTACACAGAAGTGAACTTTTAATATAACATTTAATGTGAAGTGACAAATACAACAGTACAACAGCTGACCAGCTGATATACAGCCAGTGCTGCCAACGTATTTCGCGCGCATACGACGTTGCCTGCATGTTGCCTGCATGACAATGTTAACATTGTCTCACTGATGAGCGAATTGGCCACTTTGCTTTCTCAAATCAGTGAGAGAACATGTACATTGTTAGGTAACTGTAGGAAAAAGTAAGTAAATGCAGCAATTAGCTACTTTGTGTGCTATAATCATTGCAAGGAAGCCTGCTTTGTCAGGTAAGTTAACTGTAGGAAAAAATAATTGTTTTACATTATTTTATATGATTATAGTGTTAAAAGATTATGTATATAGCGAAATTATTTTGTCATTTTTACCAAAATACTGATTAATGGGCGTTGTCCATGATTATTTTAAAAACCATCTGAACACTTAACAAATACATTCTCTAAACTTTAAAAAATAATAATCTATTTAATCTATATTATTGATTTATTTAATATGAAAATTGATCATAATGCTTGTATAAAATATTGTAACCAGACTATATAGTAATATTACTAAGTTTCTCTGCATAGTTTTAATTATACTTGAATCACATATGAAAGAGGTATAATCTAACTAAATGTTAATAAATAAGACTAGGCTATCGAATGTCAGCCGACATAGATACAAAATAAATTCCCACAGCCGGTATAAAACAATGAACAAACCACGGTCGGTTAGACATATTGGAAATTGTCCTTGCTGTTGAGAAGAGGTTCTTGCTCAATTGGACTGCGAACGTGATACCTGGAAATTGTTAATTTAATTTACCACCAAAGTAATCATCATGTGCATCATTTCTTCGAAGCTCAACCTGCTGTAGGGAAAATACATGTCCAACAGCAATATAAACATCTTCATAATATTTAACGGATTTAAAAATATTGTTAATGTATTGTTTAAACTAACAGTTTTGTAAAGTTTTGTGGCTAAAACACAAGAAATGCAATCCAAGTTCAAACAAATTTAAAACATTTACTAACCAAAATACTGCTTTGCAAAATGATAAAGAGTTTTTCACTTGAGCATTGGTTTAATAATTGACAGTGTTCTACACATGATTCAACTACACAACGAATGACTCATTGAACTGCACTACTGCACATACCTGGTCATCCAGTCAGTAGGATCGGGACGGAAGAGTCCAAAGCATCGCCACTGTACAAAGTCTACAATGTTTTGGCACTTGCCACGGTGGAAGGGGCTCCTGGTAGTGCCAGGGGTGCCGTGGAAGTGTCGGTATCTGCCGGCATTCATACGTTCGTTGGTTGTCATACCCAGCACCGATATCTGTTCAAAGTGGAAAAACCAATTAAAATTATTACATTGTGATTTTTTTCCTGTTTTAATGCCATTAGCGTTTGTTGTAAGAGAATATTCCTTTTGTTATAACCTTTTGTTATAACCTTTTGTTATAACACCATCGATAGAAGTCACAAATGACATCTGGGTCCAAAATCTACTAGGGATCAAACCAGGTGTCTTCAGATTTGAAGGCGAACGCTATGACCACTTGGCAACCCAGAGAGTTTGAGCAAAAGTGAGTAAGCTAATATCATACGCTTCCTCACTTGGGTTAATAATATGATTTGAGCATCCAATGAAACATGGACAAAAGACAAAACTGTCATTTTTTTAATCAAAATTTTTACCACATTTTGCCAATATTTACCATAAATATATCTGCCTAGGGATGGATCTGAAATTATCATATGAAAATTTGTGAGTAAATTACACTGTTTCTAATAAACCAGGGTTGTAAAGTGTTTAAAAAGTGTGTGTAAATCTTACGAGTTTGTATTAAACCACGATGGTGATGGAGGGAAGGAGACAGAGAGGTATACCTAAAAGAAGGTGGATAGATGAGGTGAAGAGATGGCAGAAGAGGAAGAGGAACTGTGGAGATTATGAGAAGATGGAGAGTACCAGATGATACCAAAAGCTGGAAATAATAATTGTAACGGAAAAGGATATGTCTGTACGTAACAGTATTTAACCCAACAAGAGAATGCTAACCAGCAATACAACAAAGTCTTGGCATTACCTGATATAGCTGACAGCCAAAGAGAGTAGCCACCCAGATGGAGTGAAGGAAGGCATTGGCAGCCACCCAGGCCACCCAGGAGTCACACTGAGCATACTGCCACATACCTGAGTCTATCAGGTCCACTGTCAAACATACAACCCTCAGTACATATCTAGTCACACAAATACCCCCACCGCAGCAAACCTGCAGACTAAGCAAATTTCCATTAGCCTGATAGGATTTACACTAAAATGCCTCCTTAAAAATATCATATTTATTCCCTATTTAAATAGAATTAGTTAAACAAGTACTTAGGTTTGCTGCAACAGGGAGGGTAAAAAGGTGGTTTTTTTATGTTAATAGGTTAGTAAGAAATTAATGTATTTTCCAAATTCGATCAAAATATGTTCATAAACAAGCAAACTACAACAGTTTACTTTTTCTCCATAAGAATAACATGGGGATTTTACAATTACAGTTTTTTGGAATTTTCTCCGTAACCATTAGGCGCACAATAACGCTTCAATATACTAAATTATTGGTTTTTTTATGCTCTACAAAATGGTGTTAAAAGAAATTGTAAAATTTTGTGTTTTTAGGGTCAAAAATGGGAAAAACCTTTTTTTACCCCATAAAACCCCATAAACCCCTGTTCCCATAGTCCGATCATGCTGGTTCGCGAACTCGTTCGAATAAATGTAGGTTTACACGTTTGTACCAAATTTCATCAAGATCAGATGATTTTTGCTCGAGTTATCGTGCTAACGGACACATATATCTATCTATCTATACTATTATAAAGAAGAGGTGGTGTCTGTGTGTGTGTTTGTATGAGCTAATCTCAAAAACTACTGGTCGGATCGGGCTGAAATTTGGCATGATGATAGCTCACATTCCCGATTAACATATAGGCATATTTTTATCCCAAAAATCCTTCGGGGCTCCGCCCCAGTGGCTCTGGAGTTTCCCATGTTAACCTTATGAGAAATGGAATTAATGAATCTTAACAGCTGTTTCAATTAAACAAGTTGGTTCTGTTCTATGATGTTCAATAGCATTAAAAGTTACAAGGATTACCAACAGGGTGCAGCACTAGCACTATTATTTCTTTTACATTTATGACAACAGCAAAAGGTGAGTGAGCGTAGCGAACGAACTTCAACCTGGAGGCGAGTGAGCGTAGCGAACGAGCTAACCTGAAGGCAAGTGAGCGTAGCGAACGAGCTAACCTGAAGGAAAGTGAGCGCAGCGAACGAGCTCCAACCTAAAGGTGAGTGAGCGTAGCGAACGAACTTCAAAAAGAACCGAAATTTCTTAAACCATGTCCTCACTCATAACTGCTATAAGCATTTGATACTTATATGCCAACCCCGTACGAAGGACGGGTACTCTGCTAGTATATATATATATATGAATTTGAACGGATGGTGTTTTTGGCCTCTAAAACAAAAAAATAAATCGGTCCCGGGTCCAGGTCTTACCATGAGTACTACGGTAATAGCTTATTCCCTATATGGGAAATTCGCTAAAACTAGTGAATTTGTTCAAAATAGTAAACATAATAGAGGGAACTTAATGTGGATGTTCAAGTATAAACAATTTTGAAACTTCTCAAGAAATTTTGTATTCAGCTCAATTTGACAGGATTTAGGGATTCTCTTGGGGTGAGAATCTTAATCTTAATAGGTAATAATCGTATTGCCATGATGGCTGAAGATGGTCGTGGCTGTTGGTTGCAGAGGATACCGTGCATATTTTCCCTTTAATGTATGGATACAAAGGGCGCTGCCAGAGTATTGTACGGCGGAGGGGGGGGGGGAGGTGTGGCTTACTGGAGAGTCCAGGAAAGAGGGGAGCTGCATTTTAACCAGGGTTGCACTTCAAACTTGTGCATCCCCTCAATTATTCAGTACAACAGAAAATAGCATAATTTTTTTTATCTTCCTTCCCCTCATGGGGGTGCAGGGCCCCCTCCTTGTCTATAACCACAGTGACTAAACTTGTAATTCTGATGTCAAATTATCATGAAAGTGAAGATAATACATACTCATTACTACACTAAAATAAAACATACTACTACACAATATAATGTTTTCTATTACAATATTACATAAATCTCACCGGTCCAGAAATGAGGCCTTGGCTGGGACATGTCGAAGCACACAGCAGTGAGCCAGAACTGTGTACAGCCATACAACAGGAACACGCACATGACCAGCAACATGAGCAGGTAGCCCATGAAGTGGCGATGGTTGTGAGCACCAATACAGTTGCCTACCCAGGGACAATGGTGGTCAAACTGTCAATCATAATACCACATTACAGCCATACAACAGGAACACGCACATGACCAGCAACATGAGCAGGTAGCCCATGAAGTGGCGATGGTTGTGAGCACCAATACAGTTGCCTACCCACGGACAATGATGGTCAAACTGTCAATCATAATACCACATCATGTATACATCGCAAAGAAATTGTAAAAAAGGAACTCAAAAATCTTAAAACTGTAAGCATGTCTGATGTTACCTCTTACCAGTAGAAGAGTAGTATTAGCTTCAGTAACTATAGTTTTGTACAATCATTGTTATCATCCACAAAGGCTAAAATATCTTTATCATCAACCAAAATAAGGCAAAACTATGATGGTTTAAGGTATGATGTAAGAAACTGGCCAGAGTGGTTTGTCTTCTCAGAAAACTAAGACACTGTTACTGCAGATATGCTAATAACTGCATACTATGCTTTTTTTCATTCCCATCTACGATATGGTATAACCTTGCATAATTCCTTGTATAATGGGCAACTCTTGCAGTGCACAGACTGCTCTTGGATGGCAAAAAAGGCACTGAGAGCAATCAAGAATATACCACAAAGACAGTCTTGTAAACCGATATTCAAAGAATTACAAATAATGACTTTGCCTAATCTATATATTTACTGTTGTCTATTAGATGTTAAGGAGTCTTTGAACAATTTTACAACTAGAAAAAAACTCATCAGTACTATACTAGGAATAACTATCAATTAGATTTAGCTTTTGTAAGATTGGAAAAAACAAAGAGCAGCCACATATGTATGAAGATACAACTATTAACTTTTTAACTTTCAACGCTAAAAAAATTAAATAAATTAGTTATCCAATCCTCCCCAGTTTAGAACTTACCTTAGCAACACAGCGGTTACAGACTGAGCAGTGCTTGCTGCGGATTGGCTTACGCACAAGGCAGGAACTGCAGAACCATTGCGGCTCAAATCCTCCCCTCTCCGCCAGCTCAATTATTGTCTGAACAACAGAAAACATTGAAACATTTGTCTATGACTTCTTAAAAGTAGATACTTAATAATTAATGAATCAGAACATACCACTAGAGTGAAAGGCAAGAAAATGGGTCTGATTGAGAATTATTGATTACAACTTAGTCAAATTGATATAGAATGTAACTGCTGTTATAATTTCAATCTGACCATATCCGTCTTGTTTACCACTTATATCACTGTTAGATAACAACTTTATTAGGTAAAATCTAGTTATTAGGATTTAAAACTCTGTGATAGGATAAATACTTTTTTGTTTGGCAAAACATGTATCATTAAGGTACTTAATATACAATTATTAACAATGGATTGCCATTATTATACAGCTGACTCTCAATACACACATATAGGATAAGGAAGACGTAGGATTACAAATATAAACAGATTACTAACAAATATATTCTAGGAGTTAAGAAAAATCGACTTATTCGGTATGATGTGACTATTAGGCCTTAAGATTAATCAGTTAAGGAAATTTGTATTGATTGCTAAAACTACGTGATTTGGTCTATTAACTCTTGTGTACAGCTGAGCGGTTTTTTGTAGGCCTGAATATCATACAACTAAATAATACCTGTATTATAATTCAATTAGGCCTACTTATACTACAATACAATCTGGCTCATAAGTTATATTGATAAGTTACAAAACACAGTAGCAAGCACAATTAGGTACTTATTCTACCCTATAATCACTTCCTTTCACTGTAAGAAATCAGATTAGACACTGCTGGAACGGCGCAAAAATTCCAGGATTGTAGACATCAGTCAATTATTCGTTGCGGTGTCAGGTTACCGAGTGAGTTAGACCAAGAGTCAACATTGTTAATAAAGAAACAGTGTGTGACTGACCCTGAACTTCTGATCCTGCGTAGCAGCCACGACCCCAGGATCCCCTCTCCAGGATTTGAGGAAGAAGTGCCAGAGAAGCAGCGAGCTGGACAGGAACAACAGGGACTCTAGGAAGTCAACTGCAGGAGCGACCCACAGCAACCAGGTCACGTAGAACCAGAACTGGAACATTACATTGTGCTCAAAGCCACAATTTTTATTCAAAAACAACATATTTAGCGCTAACTTTGTGACGAAATAATTTAGTCCTTAAATCATAAACTCTGGGACACCTAAAAATCCACTCTTGAAATCTTTATTTAATTTGTAGGATTTAGGGAATCATAATACAAAGCTAGTCGCTTTACTAAACTAGTAAGCTAGATGAGCTATATCTTTTTTATAAAGACTCGTTAATAAACTACGTGGCTTTGCCTTAAAATACAATTTTAATGTACACTATTCTTGTTCAGATATATTGTTGTGAATGAAGAGTATTTAATTAAATCAAATTAAATATTCCAGTTACCTTAGTAGCTAAGTACACAGACATTGGAAGAAGATTCATAAGCCTGTCATCAAAAACGTATCTGCCAGCAAAATAGATGCCGATGTAACCGATGACTAGGATGGCTATTTTGACTGGGTAAGGTAGGTTCGTTTGTAGAGTGACCCCGATGGCGTAGAACGCTAGGAAAGGTGTTCCCACCATGCACCAATATCTTATCCTCTGTAACATAAAACAGGTATTATGAAAAAACTCTCCTGCAAAGATTCTTTCATACAGTGCACTTCCAGAGTATTTAATCATAGACTAACCAAAACAAGTAGATTTCTTATCCCATTGTAAATTTTAAAGCTCGTTTTTCGTGTATGGTTCATGTATGGTGACACTGGGCGCTAGTGTCGACGAATTTTTGTTTGTATTTTTTTAGGGTTAATTTCTTGATTTCTGCTTTACTGTTTGGTTATATAACTAGGGGAAAGTTATTGTTTATGATTAAATTGTATTATTTGGTCAAACGAGGTTTTATATTACTGAAATTAAGAAACGAACTGTAAATAAAACACTACCTCTGCCAAGGGCCAAAGAAGCAAAAGACAAAGTGCCAAACACTAATTCATTACCGTACTACTGTTAATCAAACACAATATCAACAGTCAAACTAAATTAAAAAGGTCTAATGTTTTAATAATTTGTTTCAACCATAAACTGTCGCAGTTGGAATGCAATTAAACGTGCTGCAGACTTTTAAAAGACTTTGTGTACTATGGGATGTCAGTAATCCTATGATTAGATAAAAATGTTCAACAATATGGAGGATATTTTATTCATCAAACTACAGGGTGGGGCAGCATAACTTACTTTCCTTAAATGTGCGCCATTTTTTTTTTTTTGTTCATGCCATACCGAAGAGCTAGTAGTCTTGTTCGAGAGCCAAGGCTATAAAATGTTGTCCTTTCACAGTTTAGTCGCCATTATGCGTTGAAACAGAGAAGAGCAAGCGTTTGCCGTTGAGGCCTAGTTTTGAGTGGATGTTCAGTGATCGCAGCCCAACGGGCCTTTTCGGAATCGGTTTAATTTAGCCCTGTTGGCCCCTGTTCTGGACCAGAAATCAATTGTTATGTGGTTCAATACATTTAGACAAACTGCAAGTGCCTCAAAACCAAAAACTGGAGTCCCATGGCCCATTAGGTCACCTGAGAACAATGAGGCAGTGAGAGCTTCAATATTGTGATCTCCAAGGTATCCAGTGCTCAAACATGCGTCTGTCCTTGGACACGTTCTGTAATGACAATTTTCCATGATGACCTACATTTCCATCCATATAAGAATGGTGACTGTGCAGGAACTGTCAAAAAGGCCATTTCAATTAAGGACGATCTGCAATGGCCGGCTTAATCTCCCGATTCGTCCCCTTATGTTTTTCTATGGGGTTTTTTGAAGTACCCTATCTATGTGAACCGTCCAAGGACCCTTCAAGATTAAAAAAAAACAAGATCCATGAAGAAATTTCCTACATAACGCCTGCTATGCTTGAAAGGGTGTATCAATGTAACTAGAATGGGGGCCGTCACCTGTATGATTTACTCTTCAAAACTATGTAAAACAAATGTTAGGAATGTACTTCCATTGTAAAAACCAAATAAAGATTGTCTGACTCATACAATGCGTTTTATTAGGTTTTAAAAAAAGACGTTATGCTGCCCACCCTGTATAAGGAAATATCGGATATAGAGGTTTGGTGAAGGAACAAGGCTGTAAGTCACAGTACAAAACTATCAAGTTGGATTAAGGTTCTCTACTAACCTTATCACTGGTGAACCTTCTACAGAAGTTCTGTCTAGTGTGAGCACCAGAATGTTCAACAACCTTCTCTAGAACTTTCTTGCCGACCCATGAAGAGGCCTTTGGTGAACTCAACAACGAGAATGGAGTTTCCCCCTAGAATAGAAAAATATATGATTAAGTATTAATTTTTTTCGTCCTCGACTGCCCTTCAGAAACTAATATGGGTTGTTTTATAATCTGCATAAGATAGGAGCCAATTAAATTTAGGAAATAGTTTCCTTTTCTCTTTTAGCGAATATCTCTATAGGGAAGTAGGTAGCTATTACCATAGGTGGCACGGTAAGATCTGGGCCTGGGACCGATATAATTTTCCATTTTGATCTCCATAGAGACTTAAATGTAGACTTAATTGTAGAACCGTTTTACATTACCGCCTAGCAAGATATAAACTATTATTTAATGAATAACAATTTATGAATTTGTCAATATTCTTTTTATTTGAACAGAAAAATATAGTACCTTCCTGTATATTTTTAACCGACTTCCCCACTACCAACAAAAGGAGGAGGTTCTCAATTTGTTTGTGGCGATGTTTTTTTTTCTATGTATGTTCACCAATTTCTCTGTGATTCTTTTACCGATCAGTGTGGTTCCACCACCAAAATAACCAGGAGAGTTTCTATTTGGTCCCATATATATATGTTGTTTAAGTGTAATATTTGTTTCGGTGAAAAATACTGAAAACCACAAATATTCAACATTTATTTTGTTTATATTTGTGCAGAGAAGGCAATAAATAATAATAACATTCCTACAGCTGCTGTTACTTGAAACCATTTAAATGAAGCTACAGACAATTCTTCATGAAACAGTTGCTTCATATTGATTAATTGAGCGGAGCGAGCGAAGCTCTTATACGTCGACTCTTATGCATTTCGAAATACGCAAACTTCTCCTATACGGCTGAATCAATCGTTTTCAAATTTTGCATAGTGATAAAGACCATATCGGTGAGTGCCAACATCTATATGGCGATAAAAAAGTCTCTCAGGAATCCGCCCCACTGGGTCTCAAAGTTTCAATGTAATTCTTATGGAAGCAGTATTTGACACATAAATAAAAACAAAGACATATGATCAGCTGTTGACTTTTGAATGCAGTAGATAAAAGAATAGCGGACAGCATTATTCCACAGATATTAGAACAGAAACGGTATGGATCATAATTATAATCAAATGACGACACTAGCTAGCTTGAGGTCCGTGACGTAGGAAGAGGTGAAGGAAGTAGTAAAGGTGAGCAGTCTGGAGTGTGGAAACTGTTTATGACGATTAGATTAAGGTATCTGCAATCCTAAAATGCTATTGGAAGGGAAGGAACAAGGTCCGCGACGTAGGAAGTAATGAAGGAAGTAGTGAAGGCAAGCTATTCGGGGTGTGGGATCTGTTTATGACCTTGGTTTAAATACCTGCTTCTAGTAATCCAATAGTCGCAATTTTTCGTCACGCAACTAGTTTCGACTTCATACAGAAGTCATCATCAGGCGTCCAGTGGATGTCAAAATAATCACTTCATCTGAAGGTCGTCGGTTCACACATGGTACATTCACACACAAACACGCACACGAACACGAACATAGTCACATAAAAAAGGTACATTTACAACGATAATACGGATTAATGGTAACTTAGGATGATGCGTCGCGACCGGGTGAATGTAGCGTCTAGACTGCCGGTCAACGTGTTCGGTCGGCGCTGTGACGTCACTCATTTGTTCTTGTTATCAGTCAGCTGTCCCTATTCATTCCCGACTCTCTCTGAAGTACCTTAATTGCCGTGTCGTAAATATAATTAGATTGGAAAGATAGTTTATCTTTTAGAATATTTTGTTTGTCAAATTTTACAGCTCTGTATATTTCAAATTCTTCCAGTGTATTTTTGTTGAAATGGTCGTTGGATAAATGCAATACGGTCATGTTTCTGTCAATATTTGTGTAGTTATGATTATCAGAAACTAAATGTTCGGCAAAGGTTGAGGTTTGAGCGGATGTTGTTTTCCTTGGAAGATGTTCTTTGAATCTCTTCTTGAAAGAACGAGCTGTCTGCCCGATATAATATTTAGGGCAGTCGTCGCAACTGATTTTATAGACGCCTGTCTTGTCAAAAATCTGAGTACTCGTTTGGGGTCGGTCTTTCAGTAAAGTTCCAATTTTGTTAGCTGTTTTGAAGGACACAGTGACGTTATTTTTGGCCATGATGTTTTTAAATTTGTTGCTTAGGGATGAACCGTATTCCGTTGAGATGTACGTCTTCTTATCTTTTGTTTTGGAGGTTTTTTGTTTATATTTACGAATCAGTTTATCAATGAGAATGCTTTGATAACCATTAGCGACGGCAATGTGTTTAAGGATATTTATTTCGTCATTGTAATCAGATGGACTCATTGGTACGGATAACAATCTGTTTACGAAGCTATTGTAGGCTGCTAGTTTTTGTGAATGAGGGTGATGAGAGTCTGCGTGGATGGTTTGGTCTGTGATGGTTGGTTTTCGGTATATTTTGAACGTGAAATCAGAATCATGTTTTGTTATAGTTATATCCAGAAAATTCAGGCTGTTGTTAATCTCCTCTTCAAAAGTGAATTTCATATTTTTATGTACGTTGCAAAGATGGTTGTTCAACAATGCAAGTTGTCTGCTATTGCCATTAAATAGAACAATGGTATCATCTACGTATCTGTAATAAAAAACTATTTTTCCTTTGTAGCGGTTATTGTCTGAGAACAGATATTCGTTTTCAAAGTGGTTTAGGAATATTTCTGCTAAGATACTGGAGAGTGGGGAGCCCATGGCTAGTCCTTCTTTTTGAATGTAAAATCCATTCTGGAATTGAAAGTAGTTTTGTTTTAATACTAATTGCGTCAGTGTCAAAAGTTCATCTATGGACTCGGGAGGTAAGTTGGAATTTTGTGTTTAGGTTCTGCCGCAATATTACCAAAGTTTCTTCCGTGGGTACATTTGTGTATAGATTAACTATATCAAATGATGCTAGTTTCTGGTTACCACTGACTTTGTGTGACTGTATCTTTTCAATCAATTCTAAACTATTTCTTATACTACGATTATTCTCTAAGATTACATGGTTTCTAATTATATTATCCAGTTTCTTTGCAAGTTTGTAGGCTGGGCTTGGTTTAAAGTTGACTAGAGGTCTGATGGGGATGTTGGGTTTGTGGATCTTTGGGAGACCTCGAAATATAGGGGCACTTGGATTCGGAACTTTCAATGCTATTTTTTCATTGGCTGTTAATATATGTTTACTATTGGTAATGGCTTTGTTTATTTCTTTAGTGTTGTGGATTGTGGGATCTTTACTCAAAGTTTCAATGTTGTTTTTGTTCATGAAATCAGCAACTTTTCCTACATAATCGTCTCTATACAGGATGACAATCGAACTGCCCTTATCTGCTTTTGTTATCAGAGCGTTGTGCTCGGCAAGTTTACTCTTGATGTTAGATAAAGTTCGCTGCATGGGCTTGAATTTTAAATGATGTTTCTTTGATTGCTGCTGGTTTTTCAAAATAGCTTTTGCTTTGTTCCCTATTATGATGCGTGCGGAGTCTCGTATTTCTTCCGATTTAACACTTTTTATAGATGCTTCTATATTTAGTAATTCTGAAAAGAGACTGGATTTCTTATTGTTAGGAAAGTTGAAATTTAAGCCTTTGTTAAGCAGGGATATTTCATCTTCACTAAATGTAATTTTTGTTTTGTTTAAAATTCTCTTGTAAAATGTATGGTTACAAGTAATTATATCTCTTTCATGCTGTTTATCGATTAAAGTAAGGAGTTTTTTAGATTGAGTTTTCTTCTTCAACAGGATTTTTTGGGATATTTGTTGCTCAATTTCAGCCATAACATTGTTTTGTTGTGATGCATGCAAGTTTTTTAAAAGTTCTAAGTGTTTATTTAACACCAATTTATTAAGTAAATTTTTCCTAAAGTACAAACTTCAGTCAAATCAGTTGCGACGACTGCCCTAAATATTATATCGGGCAGACAGCTCGTTCTTTCAAGAAGAGATTCAAAGAACATCTTCCAAGGAAAACAACATCCGCTCAAACCTCAACCTTTGCCGAACATTTAGTTTCTGATAATCATAACTACACAAATATTGACAGAAACATGACCGTATTGCATTTATCCAACGACCATTTCAACAAAAATACACTGGAAGAATTTGAAATATACAGAGCTGTAAAATTTGACAAACAAAATATTCTAAATGATAAACTATCTTTCCAATCTAATTATATTTACGACACAGCAATTAAGGTACTTGAGAGAGAGTCGGGAATGAATAGGGACAGCTGACTGATAACAAGAACAAAGGAGTGACGTCACAGCGCCGACCGAACACGTTGACCGGCAGTCTAGACGCTACATTCACCCGGTCGCGACGCATCATCCTAAGTTACCATTAATCCGTATTATCGTTGTAAATGTACCTTTTTTATGTGACTATGTTCGTGTTCGTGTGCGTGTTTGTGTGTGAATGTACCATGTGTGAATCGACGACCTTCAGATGAAGTGATTATTTTGACATCCACTGGACGCCTGATGATGACTTCTGTATGAAGTCGAAACTAGTTGCGTGACGAAAAATTGCGACTATTGGATTACTAGAAGCAGGTATTTAAACCAATTTATATATTCAACGTAATCCGGAGGCTAACATCAAAAATGTTTATGACCATTAGATTAAGGTATCTGCAACCCTAAAATGCTATGGGAAGGGAGAAAAACGGGTCCGCGACGTAGGAAGTGGTGAAGGAAGTAGTCAAGGTGAGCTGTTCGGAGTGTGGAAACTGGAAACTGTTTATGACGATTAGATTAAGGAATCTGCAATCCTAAAATGCTTTGGAAGGGAGGAAAACAGGTACGTGACGTAAGAAGTGGTGATGAAAGTAGTAAAGGCATGCAGTGTGGAGTGTGGAAACTGTTTATGACGATTAGATTAAGGTATCTGCAAAACTAAAATGCTATGGAAAGGGAGGTAAACAGGCCCATGGCGTAGGAAGTGGTGAAGGAAGTAGTAAAGGCGAGTTGTTTGGAGTGTGGGATCTGTTTATGACGATTAGATTAAGGTATTTGAAATCCAATAATGCCAAGGGAAGGGAGGGAAACAGGTCCGAGACGTAGGAAGTGGTGAAGGAAGTGGGAAATGCGAGCAGTCCGGAGTGTGGGAACTGTTCATGATGATTAGGTTAAGGGATCTGCAATCCTTATATGCTATGGGAAGGGAGGAAAACAGGTCCGAGACGTAGGGAGTGGTGAAGGAAGTAGGAAAGGCGAGCAGTCCGCAGTGTAGGAAATGTTTATGACGATTAGATTAAGCTACCTGCAATCTTAAAATGCTATGGGAATGGAGGAAAACAGGTCCGAGTCGTAGGAAGTGGTGAAGGAAGTAGTCAAGGCGAGCTGTCCGGAGTGTGGGAACTGTTTATGATGATTATATTAAGGTATCTACAATCTTAAAATGCTATGGGAAGAGAGGGAAACAGGTCCGCGACGTAGGAAGAGGTGAGGGAAGTAGTAAAATGAGCAGTGTGGAGTATGGGAACTGGAAACCGTTTGTAGCATTTAGATTAATGTATCTGCAATGCTGAAAAGCTATTAGAAGGGATGGAGGCATGCCCACGACATAGGAAATGGTGAAAGAAGTATTAAATGCTAGCAAGTGCGGAGTGTGAGGAATGTTTGTGGCAATTAGATTAACGTATCTAAAATACTAAATTAGTATTTATGAATACAGGTCCACGACGTAGGAAGTGGCTTAGGAAGTAGTAAAGTATGAGCATAGTGTGAGAACCGTCTGTGGCAGTTAGATTAATGTATATTCAATCCTAAAAAGCTTTGAGCAGGAAAGGAAACAGGCCCCACGACGTAGGAAGTGGTGAAGGAAGTAGTAAAGGCTGGCAGTGCAGAGTGGGGGAACCGTTTGGGCAGTTACATAAATGTATCTGTAATACTTAAATGCTATGAGAAGGGAAGAAAACAGGTCTATGACGTAGGAAATGGTGGAGGAAGTAGTAAGGCTAGAAGTGCAGAAAGTGGGAACTGTCTTTGGAAATAATCAAATAACATTAATGTATCTGCAATCCTAAAATGCTATGGGAAGAGAGGGAAACAGGTCCACGACGTAGGGTGTGGTGAAGGAATTATTTAAGGTGAGCAGTGTTGAGTGTGGGAATGGATTATTAATGTATCTGCAATGCTAAAATGCTACGGGAAGAGACTGTAGACTGTAGGTTAAAATGATTACGAAGCACGGATCTATACACATTTTCGATACATGCAATCGTTTACAATCAAAATTTACAACTGAGTTGACAACAGCTGATTTTTACTCGACAGAGGCTAAAAACAATTTTTACTCCCTAAAGAGTAAAAATGCTACTTTACACCCGCAACGCTTGCGTTAAAAACGAATGTTTTTACTGCAGTCTAACAAAAACAATATAATATGAACCCTTGATGACTCCGCTCAATTTTGTGGATGCCTCTGCGAACGCTACCTAGTAAACTATTTCTTGCCATGGAGCCTAAATAAATTACATTGAAAAAATGCATTTTGTTTTGGTTACTATAAAAAAGGTATTTTAACATTTGACCTGATTTGTGTATACAGTAATTCTGTTGTTTTAAGTATTGAATATTCTGACTTATAAAAACATATATGTTTAAGTGAATAGCTGTATGATATTGACAAATAAAGGTGTATTGTGAAAACCAAAGCATTCGTAAAAGAAGTCTAAATATAAATTAGCCTAAATGCAATTATTCCTTACACGACCTAAGAAGTGTGAGAGTGCATAATCGTCAATCGTCTTAAAAGTGTTAAATATTTTAATTACTAAACATGCATTTGCAGATGTGGAATGTTTATTAATATTATTTACCCAGTTACTATATCATATCAATACTATAATGCCTGCTTCAGAAAGTCCTAGAGGAAGCTGATTTGCAATTTCGACTACATCTTGAGCAAACAAAACCACCTACCCGGCTTACACCACTTTTAGCTGAACCAGTCTTTCATATACATATTTTCCAAATGTACTATATGTGATAACAACCAATTTTCTACTTTTGAGAGATTTTTTAGTGCTGGTAGCTGAGGAATAACTTTCATATTGTTCCAAAAGGCTTGAGGCGTTACTGTATTTATTTTTATAATGTAGAAGTACACCGATTATAGGAAACGATGATGTCTGACATTTCAATGTCTCTAGAAAAGACATTTAGTTTTTCATTAGGCCTAATGTAATGGACAACTCTTTGTTTTTTAAGGAATATCTAAAAATGTTTATTTTTATACCTATTGATTATGTAACCTGAACAGGTGACTCAAGCAGTTTTAAAATAATGATTGTTCTGTGGCACTTTTGATTGTTTCAAACAGTTTTGCTTATCAAAAAACCTCAAGTAATTAATATATAACAAATTATACAGTCACTAAAAATCATAAAGCAATTTATTTTTGTAAAAAAAAATACAACCGACTTCAAACGCTCTAAAAAGAATGAAATAATTTCAATAAAGTAAACTTTTGTATTAGTCAAGCTCACGTATTTCAAGTCGTCGCGGCTCTAATTGCAAATATGATTAAAATAAAATATTGTGTGTGTATTTTGAAAATCAATAAATTGTAGCTGGATAACATAAATATATAAATACCCCCGCCGCAGCAAACCTGCAGACTAAGCAAATTTCCATTTGCCTGATTGGATTTACACTAAAATGTCTCCTTAAAAATATCACATTTATTCCCTATTTAAATCAAATCAGTTTAACACATACTTAGGTTTGCTGCAACAGGGAGGGTTAAAGTGTTTTTTTATGTAAAATGTTAATAGTTAGTAAGAAATAAAAACATTTTCCAAATTTGGGCAAAATATGTTAATAAATAAGCAAACTACAACAGTTTACTTATCCTCCATAAGAATAACATGGGAATTTTAAATTTACAATTTTTTTGAATTTTCTCCGTAACCATTAGGCGCATTATAACGCTTCAATATACTAAATTATTTGTTTTTTTAAGCTCTACAAAATAGTTTGGAAAGAAATTGCAAAATTTTTACCCCATAAGAGCCCCCATAAACCCCCGTTCCCATGGTCCGATCATGCTGGTTCGCGAACTCGTTTGAATAAACGTAGGTTTACACGTTTGTACCAAATTTCATCAAAATCGGATCATTTTTGCTCGAGTTATCGCGCTAACGGACACATATATATATAAATATATATATATATGAATTTGAACGGATGCTATTTTTGGCCTCTAGGGACCTCAAAACGAAAAAAAAAATCGGTCCCGGGTCCAGGTCTTACCATGAGTACTACGGTAATAGCTTATTCCCTATATGGGAAATTCGCTAAAACATACTGAACAGTTTTGTTTGTATATCAAAGGAAGTATTTTCTTGTATTTTATGTTTAGCCTACTTCAGAATGAATGTATTATGAAAATATCACACACAAAAAATGTTCTATATGAATAGGAAAATAATTTATTTTGATGTTATGGTAGGGAAAAGAAGCTATTTTAATATTAAAACGTTACTTTTCCAAGTTAGAAACATTTAAATGCATTATAATCTTTTTAAAGATACTCGTTAATACCACTATAATGCCGATCTTTGGTTACGGTAATAAAATAACACCCAACGCACAACTATGAAAAAGACATACAGATTAACACCTTTAGTTATAGATCGTCACCTGCATTATGTACATCCTCTTTCAATGTTGTACTAAAAATCATCCTGAGCCGCGCCGACTTAAAATACGTGAGCTTGACTAATACCAAAGTTTACTTTATTAAAATTATTTCATTCTTTTTAGAGCGTTTGAAGTCGGTTGTATTTTTTTACAAAAATAAATTATTATAACTTAGATGAATAGGCGTACAACTTGTATTTATTAAATATTTAGGATAGGTACTCAAAGAACTCATTAGATTGTTCAAGATTATTAGAGTAATATATTTATTAGGGTTGAATACAGCTAAAATATGTTTTCAAAGTTTTTTTCTGGCATATGACAGGTATTTTCTATTTAAAACTAATAGCCTACTTTTTTTTAAGTGTTTTATTGTGATTCATGGGGAAAAACTTGCATTATACGATTGAATTCCAGCACTCAACAACACATAGTTCAAATCAATTGACTGTTGACAGTTTTGACAAGCATTGGAATGTGTATCTAAGCTATTTATTAATGATATGTTTGTTACAAACAGAAATAAAGTACTAGTTTATTTCATTTTCTTTAAGATCTTTCCAACAATCAAACGTACCTTTTTGGAGTTACATTTTTACTTTGATAATATTACCAACAGCTTTTAGGCGTGATTAATAATTTGTTGTTATTCTATTTTGTTTTTGTCCTATCAGACTATCACCTATAAAGAATATTTCAAGCTACAGGGAGTAAAAAAACTCATTTCTTATTGTATGTCTTGCCATCACACATAAACACCATTCAGCTGAAAATAAACTTTCACATGTAGTCTACCTACCCAAGCCATAGACAAAAAGAATGATATATAGACCGTCAGCCGTGCTGCGATTAGCTTAGGTTCTGGCGTTAACTGGGAGCGCCGTGCAGTTACTTAAAGCGTGTACGCCGTAACTACACAGCACTCCCAACGGTGGATGCGAGAACCTATACTAATAATATATTTAGTTATTTTTGTCCATGCCAAGCTCACTGAGCTACTATTAGCCTGACCTGTGCATTAGCGATGTCGAGACTAGCTCCGTGCATGACTAGAGTGCTAACAGCCGTGTGGTTCTTAGAGAGGATAGCCCAGTGCAGCGCAGTGTTCTGTTGGTACTTGTCTTGTATGGTGGTGGAGGCCCCAAACGTCAACAGTAGCCTGGTCGGATCTAAACTGTAACAACAACAAGAGATATTTGATACACATAAAGCAACGGGGACCTAACTTTTTTGCTTTATCGATCTACAGGCCATAAAACCACTGGCTTAGTTGTACATTTTACTATCTATATAAAAAATCTCATAAAAATTAGACTTTTTCAAAGTTGGTACCAGTACCGGTTCCTAGCCAAAATCGTTTCTAGATTCCAGTACCATCGGTACCTTATTTCAAATTTTTAGAATAGGCTAGCTACATAATTTTTTTTATTAAAAAAAATATATCCATATTTCAATTTTAGGCCTACAGTATTTTGCATTTAGTAAGCCTATAGGTTGGTCATACTAAAGGTCAAAACTTAAGTGATTAAGGAAATAAAACTTCTCCCATAAGCTTGTCAACAACCTACATCATGGGTAAGCGGTGAGAGTAAATATGATATTTTACAGTAAAAAATCACAAAAGTTGCAATAACTTTTGAACCGTAATTGTTACAGCAATGGGGTATTCTACTATTTTTTTTTTTTTTTTTTATCATAAGGACCATAACTAGGGATGGGTTGATTCCGATTCTTGATACCTTGATGACTTCGATACCAGTGGTATCGAAGAATTGCCGATACTTGATACTTTGCTTCATTTCAATGTAAGTTAGGCCTAGATGTATGAATGCTTATGCAAACATAAAACTCGGTGAAAATTTTAGGCCTACCTAAACCGGTGTTTGTTGTTTCAATTGAATTTAATAAAATATGTTAAAATGTACCCTATGTCTTCTTGAAGTATCTTATTTTCTTATAGGCTAACCTTATCTATGACCTTATTCAATTCAGTTAAGTTATGTAGTAAAGTAATTCAGATAAGTTATGTTTGTATTAAGAATAAATGAAAAAAATAACTTGCTCCTTTATTTATAGGTATCATGAGAAGCACAAATATATGTGTTATTGAATCTATAACGGTTATTGGTATCGAGTGCGGAATAGAGAATCGAAACCAAAGTTCTGGAATCGCAATTGGTATCGGAATTGACCAATTCTGGAATCGGCCCATCACTAACCATAACATATTAATATTGATCAAAAACAGCTTATCTAAATAAATAAGATTTTTTTATAGCTTTTTATGGGAAAATGGCATAAGTTACAATAACTTTTGAACCGTAATTTTTACGGAAATGGGATTTGTACCATTTTGTTCACGGTTTAAATTACTACAACATCTAAATTTTTTAGAAAATTGTTCAGGCCATTTTCGAGAAAATCCGATTTTTCCGTTATTTAAGAGGAAGTTTTATGGGAAATCTCCATTAAAAATAAAAATTTAAGAAAAAAGATAAAATGTTCAAAATTTTATGGACCATATCATGTTTAGATAAATCAAAACCGGTTTTTTTTTTAAGTCTTATTATTAGTTTTTTATGGGTTTTTTGTGGGAAAATAACATAATTTACAATAACTTTTGAACCGTAATTTTTACAGAAATGGGACTACCAAACTGACCTGAGTCTTATCCCTGCCCCTTAGGTGGAACTTCCCCACGATCGCGGCAAAATCGTGAAGATCTCTTACGATCATAGGAACATTATTGTTACTCGCGATTACAAAGAATTATTAATTTTAGATAGGTACCTAGTAAAGATTCACATTTTGTTCTAAAAAATTGTGTCTGCACTAAACATTGCAGGTTTTTTAGCTAATTTCCTTATAGGTGGGTAACTATTACCGTAGGTGGCACGGTTAGACCCGAACCCAGGACCGATATACTTGTTCATTTTGATGTCACCAGAGGCCAAAAACTGTTGTAGATGGATATATTTATTTATTTATTGTATACTAAGCTATTAATATTTTACCCCATAAAACTCACTTTACCCAACCTCTCTGTAGCAGAAAACCTAGGTATTCCGTTGAACATAATGTTATTGAAATAGATCTAAGTGGAAATCCAATCTGGCAAATTAGAATTCTCTCAGTCTGCAAGGTTTGCTGCGGCAGGGGTATGTTATCTTCTGGCACTAGCCCACAGCCTAGCCAACCATGATGTTAAACCTGGCACTGTTCTTAGGACCTTCACATTTAATTTCAAATTTAAATATTATTTTAATACTGAAACTTGCTCCAAGGAGTTAGGCCTAGTTAAAAGAATTATTTTTATGTTCAGCCAATTAGAAATAAATTTAAAAACCTAAAACTAACCAACCTGTGTACTTTATGAGCGCTCCACATCAAAGGAGTCATGCCGTTGCGGTCTTGCATGTTAGGATTGACACCTTTGGCCACCAGATAGGCCACGATGGCCGTGTGGCCAAACTGGGCAGCCAGGTGGATGCAGGAACAGCCCTCACCGTCCCTCAGCGAAGGATCAGCACCATACTGCATCAGCAACGTGACACTGCCAATATGACCTTGTCTGGAAAAGTCGGAGAGCAGTAAAGTAACATATAAAATGTTCATGTTAATGTTATGTTCATTAAATTATGATAAATTTCAGTGAAGATAGTAAGACTAATACCATACAGGTAACCTAAACAATGGCCTGTGGGGCAAAGCCCGAGGACTTTTATTACATGAATAGGTGAAAGGGGGCGTCTACACAAAAAATATTTAATTTTGACACATCGTTTGTAAAAATCCGTCCATTATTAACGGAGGAGTAGTGTTTCGTAAAAATCGCATTCACGTATTATATATAAGGATTTACTTTTGAGATTGTCAGACTACTAGCTACAAAGAAATGACTTTAAACAATGTAAAGCTAGTGTGACAGTGTTTTCGGGTCGGTGTCGTTTTGTTCGTACTGTCAAATAATCTCATAGCACAGATAGTTCAATCGCTAGAAGTGGGTAAATCCAGGATCGGTTTTTCGTAGCCTTTGGAATAGGTTTGGAGTTTTTGGAATGGGCTCAGTAGTGCAGCTTTAAAATCACTCAATCACTCTTGAGATTCCTTTATGTCCTTGCTGCTAAGCTCTCATCATCGCCCCTAATCAAGGAATGATGTGGAAGCAATCAAGGAATCGTAAAAAGGTCGTTGACAAGGAGTGGGTCGTAATTTCGCGGTATCTATTTGATGTCGAAAATCTATCGCTTGCGCTTTATCTTATTTATTGATTAAAGAATGTGTTTAAGATATTATACGGTAATCTATTATGCAAGGGAGTCGAGGTATTAATCCAAGGAAGTAAGGTGTAAAAACCAAGGATTAATGGTAGAACGGTTTACGGTAATCAAGGTAGTAAAGGTATTAATCCAAGGAAGTAAGGTGTAAAAACCAAGGATTAATGGTAGAACGGTTTACGGTAATCAAGGTAGTAAAGGTATTAATCCAAGTAAGGTGTAAAAACCAAGGATTAATGGTAGAACGGTTTACGGTGATCAAGGTAATCAAGGTATTAATCCAAGGAACTATGGTGTAAAAGCCAAGGATTAATGGTAAAACGGTACAGGTATTAATCCAAGGAACGATGGTGTAAAAGCCAAGGATTAATGGTAGAACGGTTTACGGTAATCAAGGTAGTAAAGGTATTAATCCAAGGAAGTAAGGTGTAAAAACCAAGGATTAATGGTAGAACGGTTTACGGTGATCAAGGTAATCAAGGTATTAATACAAGGAACTATGGTGTAAAAGCCAAGGATAAATGGTAAAACGGTAAAGGTATTAATCCAAGGAACGATGGTGTAAAAGCCAAGGATTAATGGTAGAACGGTGTACGGTAATCAAGGTAGTAAAGGTATTAATCCAAGGAAGTAAGGTGTAAAAACCAAGGATTAATGGTAAAACGGCAAAGGTATTAATCCAAGGAATCAAGGTGTAAAATCCAAGGATTATTGGTAAATCGGTAATATTATGTAGCAAGGAGGTAGCGGTATTAATCCAAGGAATTAAGGTGTAAAGCCAAGGATTAATGGTAAATCGGTAACGGTATTAATCCAAGGAATCAAGGTGTAAAATCCAAGGATTATTGGTAAATCGGTAATATTATGTAGCAAAGAGGTAGTGGTATTAATCCAAGGAATCAAGGTGTAAAATCCAAGGATTAATAGTAAATTGGTAATATTAGGTAGCAAGGAGGTAGTGGTATTAATCCAAGGAATTAAGGTGTAAAGTCAAGGATTAATGGTAAATCGGTAATGGTATTAATCCAAGGAATCAAGGTGTAAAGCCAAGGATTAATGATAAATTGGTGACGGTATTAATCCAAGGAATCAAGGTGTAAAATCCAAGGATTATCTCAGTACAACATAAGGTTCAACTATTTAAACAAGGAAATCAATAATGGTACGATAGTCTGCTTATTAATAATAGCACATCTTTACTCTACCTACTTTAGGCTATCACAGCTCCCAGGATTTATGGGAATGGTCTTGGGATGGTTTGATAGGTTTAAAGCAACGGAATAAAGCAGGTAGAATGAGGCTAGGTGCATACAAATGGAAATACAAGCATAGAATGTACAAGCAAGGTAGATAAAGTATGATGTATAATCACTATGAGCAAAGCAAATCTACTAATTAGCGTGGTAAATGATCTGCTAATTATAGATCAAGCAATTACAAAGCAATGACAATTTATACGTCTAAATGCAATAATACTATAAATGTGCGATTCAAGCTCAAAATGCTACGGTATTATAATTTCCAAATGATTTACAAAAGACAATGCAAAGCAATCTACGTTAAGCTAAGTCAAGCAATTTTACATATGGAATAAATGTCGGTACAAATACTAGAAACAGAATTGGAGACGTTCTCCTACCTTATTTGATGATCGACTTGTCGGGTTGATATCGTGTTCGGAAGTGAAGTGTCTTAGAGTCGTCTTGGACTCTCTGAGTAGCTAGACCGTCGTGCGCATGCGCGACAGGCAAGCGCGGGAAACTGGAGCAGGCGCGAGGTGCGCGCGCACGTCAAGGAAGCGGGAAATTCAAATCGGTGGAACCTGAATATACTTGTCTTGCTTGTCTATATTTCGTCTACGTTGATATTTAATCCAAAAAAAATCGTACCATTATTTTAGCCTGTTACATCCCCCCTTTACTTCGGGGCAGAAAAAAAAGAAAACATGTAAAAAAGAAAAAAAATTGTATTCTTCATAAAATAAAACAATCGAATCTTCCATAAATATTTTTTGTGTTTTGTTCTTTGTGCTTTTTTTTGTAGTTTTTTTTTCCAGAAGCTTCATAGGTTGATCATAAATACAAGTATTCTTTAAACTGAAATTCCTCTAGGATAAATAAAATAAAAGGGTTTCTTCTATTAATTCTTTTTGTAAGGTTTCAAATCCTTAACGTGGACGACTCCAACTTTCTTGCCTCTTTGATCTGATATTTGGAACATATTAGATCCCTGTGGCTCGCTAAGTAGATATGGTCCGTCAAATTTTGGTTCAAGTTTCCCAGCTATATAATCTGCTGCACTTGAAAGCCGATGAGTCTTCCTCAAAACTAGATCCCCTATTTTGAACTCGTTAGCTCGTCTTCGCAGATTGTAATATTTTGACTGTCTTTCGAAGGCTGTCTTCAAGTTCCTGCACACCTTTTCTTGTAGTAGGTGAAGGCGTTGTATCTGTGACCCGTACTTTTCTCCCATAGGTGTGTCTTCTGGGCGGGAAGAGGTTTCGACAGGGGCAGCATGTATGCTGTTTGGAGTACACAACTCTCTACCAAAATTCAGCATGGCGGGTGAATATTGCGTAGATTCGTGGACGGAGCTGTTAATGGCATATCGGAACTCGTTTAAATGGATGTCCCAATTTCGATGGTCGGAGTTGACGAACTGTGATATCATAGTTTTAATCACACAGTTCGGGCGTTCGGCAGGGTTGGACTGAGGACTATAAGGTGCGGTGAATTGATGGCGGATGTTCCAATCCTTGGTGACCTGATGAAAGATCATAGATGTATATTGTGTCCCATTATCTGTGATGATAACTTCGGGGGCACCATATCTAAGAAGAATGAGATCAGTAAAGTGCTGGGATACCGTCTTGGCCGTGGCATTCTTCATTCCTACTATCTCAACCCATTTCGTAAATGTGTCTTGGAACAGTAGAATGTATCTGTTTCCACGCCTTGATCGTGGCATTGGTCCCATTATATCGGATGTAACCGTCACCCACGGTCCTTTAGGTTGTCGGAAAAACATTTGCCCAACGGGAGGTTTTTGTTCAACCTTATGACGTTGGCAGGAGTCACACGCTCTGACATAATTCTTTACGTCTATTCTCCATCTCGGCCAGTAGTATCGGTCTGAAACTCGTTTGATCGTCTTGTTAATGCCCAGATGGCCTGAAATCGGTGTGTCATGACATTCGGTCAAGACATCTGATATTTGGGTCTCCGGGACACAAGTCTTCCACAGAGTCGTTTGGTCAACAATCCGGTTGCCTCGGTTGGGGATTCTTCGTAAGAGTCTACCCTCACGAACTACGTAGTCTTTATACTTCTCGGGTTGCTTAAGAACCTGCTGCTTTCTTCTGTCGTACCAATTAAAAGTAGAGTTATCTTCCTTTCTCTGCTTCTTCTGTTTTGGCAGGTGTCGATCAGTAGCCATGGTGATGTGTACTGGGTGTATTGTCTGCACGCTTGTTGGGGTTCGAGGATAAATCCTTTGCCTGACTGGTGTTCCAACTTTGATATCTTTTACAAAAGAGACTTCATGGTGGCTATGGCTTACTATTTCTCTCTTATTTATTGCTGGTTCTGTGATAGACTTGTGGAGGGCCGTGATGCGTCGAAGGCCGGAGTCCCTCCTTCCCTCCGGACCCAATTGGCGTTTCCCTTCTTACAATCGCAATGAATCGTACGTATACCTTCCTTCTTGCAGTTGAAACATCTGATAACTCGTGGTTCTTTACATTCGTGGTACTTGTGTCCGCTTTTCTCGCAGTTCCAGCAGAATAGGTGAGATGATGCTTCTTGGGTTTGTGGATAATTAGATGACTTTGATTGTATCACATTGCTACTATTAGCATTCGGATAGGTTGGAGTGACTGGCACTTTTCGTTCGGAGAAATATCTGTTGTTCGTGGGTCTGTTAACAGTTCCAGTGGCGAACCGTGAAGTTCTATCTTGGCTCGGTGGATTCCAATTTCTATTCGTAGTGTGAGGAGGCTCTCGTCTTGGCATGGAATTATCACAAACAATCGATGAGTGTGTCCTATCGTTGGTCCGGTAGTAGGCAGTTTTTGGCATTAACGATTGCGCTGGATTTGGGGGAGCTCTATAGTTTTGTTTTTCCCTCAAATAGGATTCGTAGTGTTCAGCTAACTTGATTGCGGCTCCTACAGAGGTAAATTGGTCTCGGTGGATTGTTAGTTTGTAATCTGGACGCATATTTGTGTATATCTTATCCATTTGCTCCTCTGCAGTATAGCCTCCTTTCCTACGCATTAGGGTACAAAGTGCAGTGACGTAGTTACGAAAACTTTCCGTCTCGCCTTGAGTTCTGCTCATAATTTCCTGAATTAGATTTCGTCCGTACTCAGGTGGGAAGAATTGCATCTTGAAGTCTGACAAAAAGTCCTCATAATTAGTCCAAAAATCTTTGTTGTTTCGATACCAAAGTAGGGCTTGGCCCTTTAGAAGTTCTGGCATTGATCGTAGTAATAAATCTTGTTTGATCCCATAGGCAGCGACCAATTCGTCTAATCTTTCTAAGAACGAAACGGCATCCTTTCCTCCGTCAAACTTTAAGTTCCATTTACGAACGGTGTTACAAGTGTTTGCTATTTCATTCGGGTTTTGTCTACCATTTCCTGAAATCGAGGGTGGATTTGGGGTTGGCTCTCTGCCTGTGAAACGTTCCGATTTTTCAAGATGTCCACCAGTCCGTGGACTGGTTGAGATTCGAGACGATTTTATCATTTGGGACATGGCTAATCGCATTTGGTCAGCGGTAGCCATAGGGGGAAGACCCAACATTTCCCCTTTAGTATGTCTAGATTTCGGTGACGGTTTAATCCACTGCAATCTTCTTGAACCGACATAATAGGTGTCCGGTTAGCAATCGTGTCAGGAAAAGCCTTGCTGTTGTCAACTAGTGTGTAGTGGGGTAAGCCGGCATAGTCCAGGCGTGTATCATCTTCTGTGGTGTGGCTTGGTTCAGTAACTGGTTCATTTAATCCTTGAATTCGTGTATAGGTGACGAGTCGTCTTCTTAGCTCAACAACAGTTCCTTCTGATGGTAATCCAACGTTGTCCAGTTCGTTCACCAACTGTTCCTTATGAAGTCTGTATATCCAGCCGACTCGTGGATCCGCCTCGGTGGGAGATGGAGCAGTAGTTGTTGTTGGGACCTCAAGTGTTTGTGGTGTATTTCTCTTAATGGCTCCTGCATAGCTTGTTGAGATGTGACTTGTGTCCACAGTTGATGTTGTCGATGGTGTGGCGGTGTATACCCCACCAGTTGACGTAGTAGATGTCTCTGTAGCTGTTTTAGGGCTTGAAGTTTTCTTCTCTTTACCCTTTGGATCAGTCTCTTTATCTCCCTTTACTGAATTTGGTGGATATACGTAGAATGGCGTCAGTAAGAACATCCATAGTCGAAGAAACAGTGATAGAAGTCCCATTATGATGTTGATGGTTCGGTGAAATACTCCTTGAGTTTAGATACAAAGTTCTCGAAATATCTCACAGTTTTTAATAAAACAGTCCAAGTGTTTGGGCACCAAATTTGTGACACCTTCGTGTGGTTTTCTTAACAAACAGTTCCAAGTCTTGGGGAAGCAAATTCGTGTCAAATTCGTCTAGTTTTCTTGAAAAACAGTCCCAGTGTTCGGGCGCCAAATTTGTGACACCTTCTGGTGGGTTTCTTGAAAAACAGTCCTGTCTTGGTGCCTCAAATTCGTGATTCCTTCGTGTATTTTCTTGAAAAACAGTCCCTGTTCGGGCGCCAAATTTGTGACAGTGTTTTCGGGTCGGTGTCGTTTTGTTCGTACTGTCAAATAATCTCATAGCACAGATAGTTCAATCGCTAGATGTGGGTAAATCCAGGATCGGTTTTTCGTAGCCTTTGGAATAGGTTTGGAGTTTTTGGAATGGGCTCAGTAGTGCAGCTTTAAAATCACTCAATCACTCTTGAGATTCCTTTATGTCCTTGCTGCTAAGCTCTCATCATCGCCCCTAATCAAGGAATGATGTGGAAGCAATCAAGGAATCGTAAAAAGGTCGTTGACAAGGAGTGGGTCGTAATTTCGCGGTATCTATTTGATGTCGAAAATCTATCGCTTGCGCTTTATCTTATTTATTGATTAAAGAATGTGTTTAAGATATTATACGGTAATCTATTATGCAAGGGAGTCGAGGTATTAATCCAAGGAAGTAAGGTGTAAAAACCAAGGATTAATGGTAGAACGGTTTACGGTAATCAAGGTAGTAAAGGTATTAATCCAAGGAAGTAAGGTGTAAAAACCAAGGATTAATGGTAGAACGGTTTACGGTAATCAAGGTAGTAAAGGTATTAATCCAAGTAAGGTGTAAAAACCAAGGATTAATGGTAGAACGGTTTACGGTGATCAAGGTAATCAAGGTATTAATCCAAGGAACTATGGTGTAAAAGCCAAGGATTAATGGTAAAACGGTACAGGTATTAATCCAAGGAACGATGGTGTAAAAGCCAAGGATTAATGGTAGAACGGTTTACGGTAATAATCAAGGTAGTAAAGGTATTAATCCAAGGAAGTAAGGTGTAAAAACCAAGGATTAATGGTAGAACGGTGTACGGTGATCAAGGTAATCAAGGTATTAATCCAAGGAACTATGGTGTAAAAGCCAAGGATAAATGGTAAAACGGTAAAGGTATTAATCCAAGGAACGATGGTGTAAAAGCCAAGGATTAATGGTAGAACGGTTTACGGTAATAAAGGTAGTAAAGGTATTAATCCAAGGAAGTAAGGTGTAAAAACCAAGGATTAATGGTAAAACGGCAAAGGTATTAATCCAAGGAATCAAGGTGTAAAATCCAAGGATTATTGGTAAATCGGTAATATTATGTAGCAAGGAGGTAGCGGTATTAATCCAAGGAATTAAGGTGTAAAGCCAAGGATTTATGGTAAATCGGTAACGGTATTAATCCAAGGAATTAAGGTGTAAAGCCAAGGATTAATGGTAAATCGGTAATATTAGGTAGCAAGGAGGTAGTGGTATTAATCCAAGGAATTAAGGTGTAAAGCCAAGGATTAATGGTAAATCGGTAACGGTATTAATCCAAGGAATTAAGGTGTAAAGCCAAGGATTAATGGTAAATCGGTAACGGTATTAATCAAAGGAATCAAGGTGTAAAATCCAAGGATTATTGGTAAATCGGTAATATTATGTAGCAAAGAGGTAGTGGTATTAATCCAAGGAATTAAGGTGTAAAGCCAACGATTAATGGTAAATCGGTAATGGTATTAATCCAAGGAATCAAGGTGTAAAATCCAAGGATTAATAGTAAATTGGTAATATTAGGTAGCAAGGAGGTAGTGGTATTAATCCAAGGAATTAAGGTGTAAAGTCAAGGATTAATGGTAAATCGGTAATGGTATTAATCCAAGGAATCAAGGTGTAAAGCCAAGGATTAATGATAAATCGGTGACGGTATTAATCCAAGGAATCAAGGTGTAAAATCCAAGGATTATCTCAGTACAACATAAGGTTCAACTATTTAAACAAGGAAATCAATAATGGTACGATAGTCTGCTTATTAATAATAGCACATCTTTACTCTACCTACTTTAGGCTATCACAGCTCCCAGGATTTATGGGAATGGTCTTGGGATGGTTCGATAGGTTTAAAGCAACGGAATAAAGCAGGTAGAATGAGGCTAGGTGCATACAAATGGAAATACAAGCATAGAATGTACAAGCAAGGTAGATAAAGTATGATGTATAATCACTATGAGCAAAGCAAATCTACTAATTAGCGTGGTAAATGATCTGCTAATTATAGATCAAGCAATTACAAAGCAATGACAATTTATACGTCTAAATGCAATAATACTATAAATGTGCGATTCAAGCTCAAAATGCTACGGTATTATAATTTCCAAATGATTTACAAAAGACAATGCAAAGCAATCTACGTTAAGCTAAGTCAAGCAATTTTACATATGGAATAAATGTCGGTACAAATACTAGAAACAGAATTGGAGACGTTCTCCTACCTTATTTGATGATCGACTTGTCGGGTTGATATCGTGTTCGGAAGTGAAGTGTCTTAGAGTCGTCTTGGACTCTCTGAGTAGCTAGACCGTCGTGCGCATGCGCGACAGGCAAGCGCGGGAAACTGGAGCAGGCGCGAGGTGCGCGCGCACGTCAAGGAAGCGGGAAATTCAAATTGGTGGAACCTGAATATACTTGTCTTGCTTGTCTATATTTCGTCTACGTTGATATTTAATCCAAAAAAAAATTGTACCATTATTTTAGCCTGTTACACTAGGTGGATGAAATTATTGAATTGGACTGGCAAAAAGTATTTTGATGATACCGGGTACCGTTAATATAGAAAGTTAAAAAAGCTAGATCAGTAGATATAAGATTATTATTCCATGCGCTATTGTATTGTTTCACTACACTTGATCTCAGCTGAATGCCCGAAAACACTGCCGAACACGCTTGAAAGAGTCGATCAGGGTAAAAAATCTTTTAGTAAAAGGGGCTTTAGCCGTATATTAATCCAAATTCAAAAACTAGGGCGACGACAAGACAGATAAACACTCACATATTTAATTTATTCCAAGTTAAAAAAAAAACTAACCTAAGACCATACCACATAACTTACCTGGTGGCCCAGTGGAGGGGGGTGGCTAGAAGTTCTCCGCCTACAGCGTCCACCACAGCTCCCTTGGACACGTAGTACCTGATGATGTCCAGACGGTTGTTGATGGCAGCCCAGTGTAGCAACGTGACTGTCTCATTGTCAGGCTGATTCACATCGTACCCAGCCTCCACCAGCTGTCGACAACGCTCCAGCGAACCGTACTGTACAATACATAAATGAAATGTACCGTACGGTACTTGAATTAGCCTACTTTGGCAATTTTGTCTAATGATTTTCCCGGGTTTTAAAATTCATAGAGAGAGCCTCTAATTTTAATTACATGGCTCTTTAGGCTGAAAGGTCACTATATCAGACGTAATTAGTACCAAGAAACCATCTCTTGCTACCTGTTTAGTGTTTATCTAAAAATACTATAAGTTACCCACAGGGGCGGCTCCAGGAATATTTTTTTGGGTAGGCCTGACAAGGATCAAGAAAGAGTTTGATTGGGGAGACGAGAGGTTTAAAAAGCTTCCCCGCAAAAAGGGGGAATTTTAAAATGCAAATGCAAAATAATTAGTTTGAATTCTTTCCCATTATTTGAATATAATTAAATTTCTTCATTTATTTATAATTTTGAAATATCTACCAAAATTTTGGGTAGGCCCAGGCCTACCTGGCCTGCCCTCTTGAGCCGCCCCTGGTTACCCAATATATAGTTGCTTTGATTAACACGTTCACTGCGGCATATATCAAACAAGCCCTCGCCAATGGCGGCAAGGCCCAGGCGAAGCCCCGGTGTGCCACCAAATCAGCAAACGCAATTGGTATTTAAATATTTCAGTTTGACGACACAAAAGAGCAGCGGTGATTGTGCTGCGTTACCCTGAGAGTGGATGTAGTTCATTGAAACACCCAAAAGTAGTTGTACTGACTGGATCCGTAGCCAGTGTCTTTGTAATGTGGCTTGCAGAGAGAAAATCTCCAAAACCGGGACAAAAGCATTGCCAGACGGGATTTTACGGGAAATTTTAGTACCAACCTACACCAAAATAAAGCTCGCATTCTAAGCTATAAGCTGGCAACAATTAAGTTTCCACGTCAATGGCTGAGCTCACACTGACTGTTCAAAGTTAAATCATGGGAACGTCCGACCACGCAGTACCCAGCGCGTAGTTAGCACCTGCTGATTTCAACCGCTCAGCAGCAAACGTGTTTAGCGACAGTTTATTTATGTATCTGAAGATGAATGTTAAACCCACCAGAAGGCATAATAATTGGTTGAATTTTTCTTAGACAGATCACATTCAAGTTAATTAAGATTCAAATATTTAACAGGCCACTGTCAGATTTTATGCCAAATTTTAGGTGATAGGCCTACTTAGTTATTTAGAATATGCAGGTTAAGTTACAAGATAATTTGCAGAACTAAAAACTGAATTATGCAAATAAAGAAAAATGTACCGGTACTGTACACTATCATAATTAACTTAACCCTCCGAGTGTCACGTGTTTTGGCCTTAATGTCAGCCTATTTTTTGCTCATTTGCAAGGTTTTATTAAAACTGATCTGAGAAGCTTAAAAACAATGTTAATTATACTGTTCTATATACCATTTTGTTTGGAAAATCTTGGGCTTCAATATTATATATAAAACATAAGGAAGATTTAAAAAAAAAAAATTTTTTTAGGTAAAAAAATGTATAATTTCGAAAATTTTCAAAAAAAAATAAGTTTGCGCTCAATGAAATTGTATAAATTATAGGCCTATAAATATTTGAAAATAGCCACTTTGTTCTAAATTTTATGAGGATTACAAATCTATAATAATATAAGGAAGTAGATTTGCAAATAAAAAAGTTATGGGCAAAAAACAGATTTCAGTACATAGCGTTTAGCTAAGAATGCATAGCCCAACCATAGCTAGGAATCTGGCTGATAATTTACATCAATATCACTACCTACTTCTTCAGGATCATCAACCAGCACTTCAAAACCACTTAAATCTTCTTATAATGCACCACGTATATCACTACTTTTGATTTTTAACACTAAAACAATGATAAACGTAATAAAACACATCAGTCATCGGTCCGAGGGTAACCTAGCTGTTTACAAATACACGCACGTCAGCTCAGTCAGCTGTCTGCTACAATATTTTCGGAACTAAAATGAATAGTGCTTAGAGACAGACCTCTGCAGAAAGCTTAGAATATTACGGACAGAACGATACCTAACTCAATCCAGTACAGTCCGATTCAGTTAGTCATAGAGCCTTCGCCATAAACAGTGTTCGCGAGTCGCTGCAGCGACGCACGACACTATACAAAGTGCGTTACGCGTCGCTGCAGCGACGCATGACACTCGGAGGGTTAATGAAATCATCCTTACCTGGGTGGCTTTGACAATGTCAAAGTTGCTGCAATCAGTCTCCACTGTTGTATTCTGGTTTGCCATCGTCTCTTGGAATGTATTGCCATCATGCTTGCTCTCACAACCATGATGGTAATGGGGTTTGCAAGCATCCTAAAATGGAACAAATTATTATTAAACTAGCCTAAATTTTCTCGGTAGCTGAGTGGCTATAGTGCTCGCCTTCGAATGTAGGCCTAGCTGGTTCGATTCCAAGTGAGATCATGGACAGACCTAGATAGAGGAGGGTTGTTTGATCAAGACCCGTTTGAATCCAAAAGGTCATTCAAGTGAACAAGTGACCCGGATCACAAGACCGAAAAGACCTGTTCGTGTAACTTAAGCCAAGCCTTTTTGTTCACTTTTCTTTTGTTCAAAGACAGATCAAAGAGACGGAGATGACAGGTGTCGGGAACTGAGGAGTGGAGAACTGACTGACCCAATAGTTTAAAATGATTTATTTGTGTTTCCATTATACCTCAGCCCACACCAAAACGGAAGCGAATAGAACCGAGCATAAATATTAGAGCCATATTCAAAAGTTTTAAAAACTTAACTTAGTTCCCGTAAATTTACTTTTAATAAGGTAACTTACTGCCTGGATTTTAAACAAAGATTGAATCAATTTTATTTCATGGGTACATATCTGCAGATCAGATATCGCTAAAACCCATATAATTGATTAAATAGCAAACCGGTAGATTTATATGCCAAATGGTGTAAAAGTAAGGTTAACTTACATGTAGGTACAAATTAAATTAGAGAATTAATAAGTAAAAGATAATTTGACTTAACTTAAGTACCTACATGTTTGGTGCAAAATATGAATAAAATATAGTAAGCCTAACTTAAACTTAAACTTAAGGCCAGAGTAGCCTATATTTTTAGTTTGGGAATAAGTTAGCCTACTTGAAATATTTTTAACACTTTCATAATTATTCATTTAGGTCAATTAGGTTATAGGAATCTGTCTGAACGATCTGAAGGTCCATTATCCGAACTAACCTCCGTCCATTATCCGAAAACCTGGTCAACCGTAGTAGAGTAGGGACAGATTGTATTGAACTAATACAAATTAAAAAATCATAACTGTACAACTGTAATAAATTGAATTGCCGTACATTTGTGAAAAATCCTGAAAAATACTACGATAACTTAGTCGGGGTTACGGCCGACTAGACCCACTAGAGCATTGAAAAGTCCCCTCAAATCCGTCTATCATTGGGGATTTCCATGACTTTCAATGACCAGAATTTTTTTCCATGACTAAGTTAGCCTATCCCTGACTTTCCAGAATGTGGACACCCTGGGTTGACAAAATTTATTAACAAGACCAGGGTTTGGACCTTACACAAGGTAAAAAATTCTATTTGCGTAGAAAACATTTCCAGACAAAACAAACTTAAACTGAGTAAACTTAGGCTACCGGTAAGCTAAATCTTGTAGCCTGCGCTTAACTAACTTACCCAAAAAGGAGGGGAAAAGAGTTAGGAATTGAAATTATTCACTTTACCGCATTGTAGACTTACTATACCGCACTTGTAACGGACCAATAAGGTTCAAGGATTAAGAAAAAATAAGTAAAATTGTAATGCCCCAAGGGCCTACAAGGATTAGGGAGAAAGTCCCTGAAAAATCCCATTCCGCAGGCCCATACACCTAGACCCTATTGCTTAAGGATGTAGGTTTCAGTACAAAATAGAAGTTAAGTTAGCCTATCATATAAATCAGGCCTATAGGTGCCTCAGGTGCACCTGATCCGGCTTAACTTTTAAACGCTTCAACAACATAACAAATTTGTGCCAGTCTTTTTTATCCAAGGTTGGAAGTTTTAAGGTAAATTATTTAGGCTATTTCTTGTATGTAAAAAAAAAATAGCGTTAACCTAACGCCAAAGTTACAATAGCCTAGTTCAAACATAAGTTAAGTTAGATGTGTGTACAAATTAAGCAATTTTGAGTAAAATGTTGTGGACCTAAAGTAAAGTGCAGCCTTTGTTATTTTCAAAATAAAATTTCTTTTTATCCAAGGTTGGAAGTTTTTAGGTAAATTATTTAGGCTATTTCTTGTAAGTAAACAAAAAACATAGATGTGTGTACAAATTCAGCAATTTTGAGAAAATGTTGTTTTACTAAAATAAATAATCCTACAATCAACAAACTCTAACTTAACCACCGAATAAAATAAACTGGCCTTACCTGAGCAACAAAGTTTACAGGATTACATGCAGACTGGTATTCTAACGGAATCATGCTAATGGCAATCCAGGTTCTATGATTTTCTCATAAACCATATAAAATCGATTTATTCGTTTAGGCCTATTATAATATTCATAAAGTAAAAAACTGCAGCAGTTATTAAAACAAATTGTTAAATCTTAAAGATGTATTTTAACAGCAAAACCCAACCCCTTGGAGACGATAACAACCAACCGCCAGGCCAGAAACAAACACTAAACAGACGTCAGGTCAGACTGACAACCAGAACCAAACCAACCAAGTTGGTTTTGGTTGTCAGTCCAAACCAACCAAATTCTGCGAAGTATACAGTAGTAAAAGAATGTGGTGACAAAGCAGAGAACCGTCGAATATAGTATAAAAACAGGCTACTATAAAAAATACGGGGGAGTGATCTGGTCTAGTAGTTAGAGCCTTAGTGCATGGGACTTCGGACCCTGAGGTCCCGGGTTCAAATCCCGCAAAATCACCAATGGATTTTAATGATTTTTATCTAGTGATCATGAAGCAACCACTAGGTCTAGCCTGAAGTAATGTGAAAAACAATCCCGGGATCGTACTTGGCGCCATAGGACAAAATAAAAACACTTATAAAATACCCCCACCGCAGCAAACCTGCAGACTAAGCAAATTTCCATTTGCCTGATTGGATTTGCACTAAAATGCCTCCTTACACATTTATTCTCTACTAGCTGTACCCGCGGGCTTTGCCACGGCCGCCTTTTTGCCCCGTTTAACTTCATAAGTATTCGCATGGTTCAATCACGTCCTGGTTGAAGTTCGTTCGCTACACTCACTCACCTTTAGGTCGGAGCTCGTTCGCTGCGCTCACTTGTTTTCAGGTTAGCTCGTTCGCTACGCTAACTCGCCTCCAGGTTGAAGTTTGTTCGCTATACGCTCACCATTTGGTTGCAAATTAGCTGTTGTCAATGTTGTCATAAATGATAGTGCTGCACCCTGTTGGTAATTGGTAATCCTTGTAACTTTAATGTGAGTGAGTGAGTCAGTGAGGGCTTTGCCTTTTATATATTTAGATAAACAAGTAAACTACAACAGTTTTCATTTTCCCATTTTCTCCATAAGAATAACATAGAAATTTTAAATTACACTATTTTTGAATTTTCTCCTTGACCGTTAGGCATACAACAAACAGGGCTTCAATATACTAAAATATTTATTTCTTTAAGCTCTACAAAACGTTTTAAAAAGAAATTGCAAATTTTTTTGTTTTTAGGGCCATAAAACCCCCATAAAGAAACTTCAACGAAACTAACCTAACTAAGATTAAGTTCCCATGGTCCGGATAGTGTTTTTAGCTTCTACAGACCTCAAAACGAAAAAAAATCGATCCCGGGTTCAGGTCTTACCATGAGTACTACGGCAATAGCTTATTCCCTATATGGGAAATTCGCTAAAAGGTGGTTAGAGTACCATTGCAGGTTCCACCCAAGACGCTCATAGTAAACCTTTATTCCTTGAGTTAAAAATTCAAACTGCTGTTAATTTGTACATTTGTTATCTCATCTCTTATGTTTTTAAGACATGCTTTCAAGACTTTGCCTATTGATAAATTTCCAAAAAAGGATATTTTGATGGAAAACCCCTATAGTTGGGTCTCAAACTAATAAATTAATACCATATAATAGGTAATATTTTTTGTTACAATAAAATACATGCTATTGGGTCACAGTGGAACAGTTCCATTGTGGCCCAGCATCAACTGTTTCATTGTGGCCCATGTGTCTTTGATAAGAAAAACTAAAACTAATTCCACTTCAGAACTTTGTACAAATATGCTAACCAGTCTAAAAGTTTTAGAAAGTGTTGTTCTTTATACTGGTATGTGACACTTATCTCAAATAACTTCAAATAAAAGTTAAAGTTGTGAAGAAACAACCTGGAAAAGTTACTTCAAGATGTCAAAAACAAAATATGAATAATATCTCTTCCTTACATGGAGGCAGCCATTTGCACCAATGAACTATGGGTGAACAAACAGTTTTCAAGTTCACTCACAGAGTGCAGCAGTTGGCAGACTAGCCAAATACAAAAAAAATGTAGTTGTTCCACTGTGGCCCAAGTTCCATTGTGGCCCACCCTCCCCTACACACTTTATGGTCCGTGAGACATTATAATAGCTACTTTAATATGACATTGATTGGAGCAAAACAGGTTGTAGCTGCGAATTGTTGACTGAAGGCTGTTGGAACTTAAACACTAATTTATTAAAAATTTCAACCATTCTCAAAGTTTCCATAGCAAAACACGGGTATTCCGCTAGTATACATATATAACAATTTGAATGAATAGTGCTTTTAGCCTCTAGGATCATCAAAATAAAAAAGTTCTTGGGTCTAGGTCTTACCATTCCACCTACTCTTACAGCTATACTTCCCTATAGGGAAAATTCGCTAAAACGAGTGAGGAAAAATATGAAAAAGACTTGATTTTGGAGGCACGTACATATACAGGTCTCACCCCTACAAACATCTTTCCATGGTTATAGGTAGGCTCTTTGTAACACTGAGCTAGAGATACAACAGGATGCAACACTAAATGAGAGAATCGCAAGACTTAGCCGCCATTTGTACTAAGAGCTAACTAAAGGGGGTACTACAGGCCATTAGTACAATTTGAATTAGGACAATTGGGGATTGTGATTGTACATGCAATTTTCTAGCAGAGTTTCCGGCCAGTGCAACATCCGCTTGTATATCTAGCTCAGTTGGATTTTGTTAATCCAAATTGTAGAATCTTTCTTTAAAAGAGTTGTCAGAAATAAAAGTATGGATCAGTTTTGGACCTAGAGGTTGTGGAATAAAGCATCTGTAATGTAAGTGATGGGCAATGACCTAAAGTAGGTATCCTGAAGTAGGTAAAGTTTCTCATCTAATAGTATTATCAATAAAAACACCAGGGAAAAGATATATTTTTATTTTAAATACAAATTAGTTTATCACATACAATGTTAACATTTATGGAAAAATATATTTGCTATTAAGTGCTAACCCACCGTAACCTGTCGCACATAGTTTTCTTTCAATGCCAGATTTTGTAAGACATTAATTTGATTTTGGGTTTTAATTTGAATTTCAAACAACTGCAGATGATCTCCTAAAAAAAAGAAATATTTTAAAACACAAAATACACACACATTATAAAATTTGAATAAAAAATTATTACACATCTATATAATAACTAGCTATACCCGCGGGCTTCGCCCCGTTTAACTTCTTAATTTTCAAGATGATCTCGTTCGCATGGCTCAATCACGTCCTGGTTGAAGTTCGTTCGCTACGCTCACTCACCTTTAGGTTGGAGCTCGTTCGCTGCGCTCATTTTCCTTCAGATTAGCTCGTTCGCTACGCTAACTCGCCTCCATCAGGTTGAAGTTCGTTCGCTACGCTCACTCACCTTTTAGTTGCAAACTAGCTCTTGTCATATATAAAAAAAATAATAATAGTGCTGCACCCTGTTGGTAATCCTTGTAACTTTAATGCTATTGAACATCATAGAACAGAACCAACTTGTTTAATTGAAACAGCTGTTAAGATTCATTAATTCCCTTTAAATATGAAAAATCATAAGGTTAACATGGGAAACTCCAGAGCCACTGGGGCGGAGCCCGAGAGTCCGATCAGAATAAAAACAACTTAGTTTTCTTATTTAATGCCTAAAGAATTAATGTGCCAAATTTCAGCCTCCTAGGTAAATGGGAAGTGGGAGAATTAGTGATGAGTGAGTGAGTGAGTGAGTGTGTCAGTGAGGGCTTTGCCTTTTACAGTAGACCCCCTCTTAACCGACCCTAATGGGACCGGACCTAGGTCGGATGATTCAAAAAGTCGGATAAAACGGGCAATCCCTAAAATCATAACATAATGAAGTGCTATTCATCTGGAATTATATAATCATTATTTTGAAGTCATACTTGCATTATTTATAAAATAAACTACTCTTATCTCCTTTTTCATTTTGATAGAAATGTCACAAATAAACACAAAACACGGTTGAGTCAAATAGACCTACTTTCAGTGAATATATTATAATACTAGGCAAGAGTCAATAAAATTCCTATTTTAATAACTTTACTACTGTAATGTATTAATTAATGCTTTCCAAATACATCGTAATACAGTAAAGAACCTTTTGTCGTCATTAAAGATACAAGCGACCATTTTGTTACAAGACAGGACGTTTATTTATAGCCTCTCACTGGAGGCTCGAGGCACAAAAACTATCTTGACCTTGGAGTTGTTAACACCCCTTCCCTACCCCCCATACAAGTTGTGTTGTTTGTTTACTCAAGCGATAAGATAATCAGTTCTCAAAATCGTAACGCACTTTATGATGTTATAAATTTGCCGCACAGATAAGAAATCAGATCAGATGTGCTCGAGCTACGAACGATGATGACAAACTGACAATAGGCTATGCTATATTTTTTGTGATCATCACAAAATAACTTATTGTTAGTCATATCCTGTGGAGATAAGCGTATGGTTCAGTTCTCATCGCCGAGCGTGGGAGCGGAAATGCCGAGATTCCTAGAAAGCGGCGGTTAAAACGAGCTGCTCTCAAAGCAAGGTCGGTTAAAACAAACTGTATTATTTTACGATCAAAGGCGGATAATCCGATTATCGGTTAATACGAGGTCGGTTAAGAGGGGGTCTACTGTATAAGTATAGATTCTTTCCCTTGGAAATTTTACTTTTGGGCCTTAGCCTTGAAGATCTTAATTTTAATTTCAGTAAAAATAAACAAATTAAGCTAAAAACAAGTATATGAACCAACGTGTGAGGATGGACAACTGAGGTTAAATCACCATTGGTAACTGAATGAGTTATTTTAAGACACGGATATTGTAGTGGAGGTGCGGAGTAGGAGTAGTATTAGGACGCTATAGGCGCCTAAGACAAAAAAAAGGTATGGATCAGTGGGATGAGATCGGCAGGACATGTCGTGAGAAAAGAAGACTCCTTATCAAAGTTAGTTCTGGAGAGGAAACCAGGAGGCAGAACACCCCAAGGAAGACCAAGGGTGAGATGATTGTACCAAGTGGAAAAGGAGATTGGGGGGAAAAATGAAGAGGCTAGAGATAGACTCGAATGAAGGCATTGTGCTGGGTACCGCACAAGTTCTCTAAGTACCACTTGGAGTGCCAGTGGTCACAGCAGTAAGCTGCCACATTCAAACAAATATACATAAAACAAAAAATTGACAGCACAAAATGTGGGTACAAAAATGTGTAAAATCAACCATTTTTTACCTAAATTCTAAACGTTCCTGGCCACCTCTTCCCAGTGGTTATTTGGTACCCCCAGCCCCCTCCCCTTGTAAAAAGGTTAGATGGACGCCCATGATCCACTTTAGATGAATATTACAGTGATGTTTAAACAAATTCAAATTCAAATTCAAATTCACTTTATTGTCACATAAAAACATTTGTACATAGCAAAGCTATTTCTTATTTTTTATTTTTTATTTTTAAGCTATTTTAAGCTATTTATTTATAAGCTATTTTTTATTTTTTTTTTAAACAAGGTTCTAAGTTTCTTTTACTTTATTGTAAGAAGAGTTTTTAGCGCAAGTCAGTGGACGGAAAATAATACAGAATTTTATCATTTATTAATTGAAACAGTTCATGAATGTTTTTTGTGATGAAGAGGACTCTCTACCATTTGATGTAGGGTGAATGTTTCGATTCCTTGATCAATGTCCTTTTTTTAGGACATGTTGTTTATATATTTTTATATATATATGAATGTATCCGTTTTAGAAATGTCCATTGTAAAAAAATGATTTTTTTTTATTTTATTATATTTATTTTTATTTTTTTATCTGATTTAACTTATGAGAAGAGTTTATGTCAGTAAATTTAGCTATTGTTGTACAAGAGCTAACAAGGTACGACAGCCGCAACAGACGGGCTTTATGTCCATTGTTGTATTAGTGCTGAATAATGAATTGTTGTATATTTATTAATTTTGTAAATAAAAGCACTTTTTCATTCCATTTCCTTTTTTTAGGTTATGTTGTTTGATGTATTTTACGGTCTTTCAACACGATTCAATACATTCTTAACCAAAGTAGAAGGCAATAAATCTGTGTGTTCGTCTACTCTTTACTAGTGTGGAAAGAAGCAAGATATGTTGTGTGTAGAATTCCTAGATATAACTGACTCATAAGCTTGCACCCAAGCAGGACACTATTTATGTATGGTTGGCCCTCCCACTGGCTAAGCCACTCATAAGCTTCCACCCAAGCAGGACACGATTTATGTATGGTGGGCCCTCCCACTGGCTAAGCCACTCATAAGCTTCCACCCAAGCAGGACACTATTTATGTATGGTGGGCCCTCCCACTGGCTAAGCCACTCATAAGCTTCCACCCAAGCAGGACACTATTTATGTATGGTGGGCCCTCCCACTGGCTAAGCCACTCATAAGCTTCCACCCAAGCAGGACACTATTTATGTATGGTTGGCCCTCCCACTGGCTAAGCCACTCATAAGCTTCCACCCAAGCAGGACACTATTTATGTATGGTGGGCCCTCCCACTGGCTAAGCCACTCATAAGCTTCCACCCAAGCAGGACACGATTTATGTATGGTGGGCCCTCCCACTGGCTAAGCCACTCATAAGCTTCCACCCAAGCAGGACACGATTTATGTATGTTGGGCCCTCCCACTGGCTAAGCCACTCATAAGCTTCCACCCAAGCAGGACACGATTTATGTATGGTGGGCCCTCCCACTGGCTAAGCCACTCATAAGCTTCCACCCAAGCAGGACACGATTTATGTATGGTGGGCCCTCCCACTGGCTAAGCCACTCATAAGCTTCCACCCAAGCAGGACACGATTTATGTATGGTGGGCCCTCCCACTGGCTAAGCCACTCATAAGCTTCCACCCAAGCAGGACACGATTTATGTATGGTGGGCCCTCCCACTGGCTAAGCCACTCATAAGCTTCCACCCAAGCAGGACACGATTTATGTATGGTGGGCCCTCCCACTGGCTAAGCCACTCATAAGCTTCCACCCAAGCAGGACACGATTTATGTATGTTGGGCCCTCCCACTGGCTAAGCCACTCATAAGCTTCCACCCAAGCAGGACACTATTTATGTATGGTTGGCCCTCCCACTGGCTAAGCCACTCATAAGCTTCCACCCAAGCAGGACACGATTTATGTATGGTGGGCCCTCCCACTGGCTAAGCCACTCATAAGCTTCCACCCAAGCAGGACACGATTTATGTATGTTGGGCCCTCCCACTGGCTAAGCCACTCATAAGCTTCCACCCAAGCAGGACACTATTTATGTATGGTTGGCCCTCCCACTGGCTAAGCCACTCATAAGTTTCCACCCCATCAGGACACTATTTGTGTATGTTGGGCCCTCCCACTGGCTAAGCCACTCATAAGCTTCCACCCAAGCAAGTCACTGTTTGTGTAAGGTGGGCCCTCCCACTGGCTAAGCCACTCATAAGTTTCCACCCCATCAGGACACTATTTGTGTATGGTGGGCCCTCCCAATGGCTAAGCCACTCATAAGCTTCCATCCAAGCAGGGCACTATTTGTGTATGGTGGGCCCTCCCACTGGCTAAGCCACTCATAAGCTTCTACCCAAGCAGGACACTATTTTTGTATGGTGGGCCCTCCCAATGGCTAAGCCACTCATGAGTGTTGACCGTGATAGACGAAGATGACCTCTTGCAGGCTGAAGAATATATTCATGATTTTGCTGAAATGACAGAATAAATCACGTTGTTTCTGTGACCACGGGAGACGAATATGTTGACTACAAGACCGAAGAAGTGCTCCCACATGAAGTGCGGGAGGGCGCAGCTCAATGTACTTACGCCACTGTGTTATGCACATGTACAGGAATCGAGCCTGTGTTTGTAGATCAAACTCAGAGCTAAACTCAGATCAATATGTCAGTTAACTCCACCATCTTCTCATTGTCGGTCAGCTGGGGCAAATGCAATTTTAGTGCTTCATTTAAGTGCATTACTTATAGCTATCCCCAACTAATATCTTTATAATTGCTGTGTCATAAATTAGATTGAAATTAAATCTTGTCAAGATGATTCATGTATCTCTCTTGGTCAAGAACAACATTCCTCATTGACACCTTTAATATTTGAGACCAATTGACATAAAGTAGGTACTGATGAAGCTCATAACAGTCATAACTAGTTGCCATTCAGCAAAGTTTTGGATTGCATGAGTACTACATTCACAGATTCTTGAGTAAACTATACCTTATTTTTTAAGTAATCCTGGATAGTTTTGCTGTAACATCCACCTTCTTGTACATTTACAGTGGTCCAAAACACTCTTAAGCATTTCTTCTAACTTTCTCGCTTTCTCCTTTTCATAAATCAATAACTCCCTGAAAAAGAGTCAATTCAGTTTTAAAATTAAACAGTCAAAATAAAGCATACAGAATCAATATGGAAAATAAAATTTTCCAAAGATAAACTTTTGTGGAAATAATTTCTTTATGTCATTGAGAGTCATTTGCTTAGGGACTTTAAAAGACTTATTTTTTTATCAAACACAATCTTTGCATAATTTTTTTAAATTTAATCTGTTCAGTGTCGATGATTAAGAAAAAAATTTGTGCCTGGTAGTTATAAAAGCAATTATCTGCCGATTCCTCAAAGATACCAAACTGGCCAACATGCGTGTCTTGTCCAAAATACACAGGGAAAAACTAATGTATTAATTGGTTAGACATAAATCACATCTATTCAGTAACATTTTGGGGGTTCAATAACATTGACTTCTGCTTGTAAAATAACAAGTTTGAGTATCATTACACGGCAAAGCGGAAGGGATAACACTTGAAATCTGAGTGAACTTATCAAATACATTTTTTTTTAAGTTTTGTTTTTAGATTAAAATTTTTGTTTATTTTGACACTATGGAAAGAGAAAAAACTGCATGTTCACCTGAGATGTTTTGCCTCATTCATCACACTGTCGTTTTTCATCTCCAGCAGCCCTATGGATGTGGTGAGCCTCTGAACCTTCTGTGAATAATCTATCAACCTTCTCTCCTGGTCACTACTGTGCTGTCGATATCTCTCCAGTCTCGTCATCAGAGAAAGAATCTGCTGCTCTAGCACTTCGACTGAACATAATATTTCTTTTATTAGGTTTCCACAGATTTAAGAACTTAAATTAGTTAATAATATTTCTGTCTTCTAGATGTTGTAGTCTATCACACTATGTACATTTCTCTAGCTTGTTTGACATAAGGGGATCTTCTATTGTTGTTACATCACTAACACCAATGTATATAATATTTACAGCAGGTTAAGTCTCTGTAGCAGTCAGAATGATGTAAGGAGATAATAGATTACCCCCAAAGATGCCACACATGCTGGTAAAATGTACTCTGGCTGGGTAATAGAGTACAAAAGCATCATGGACAGGCAAATAAAAAGATAGTAGCTAATATACATAAACTATTATGACAAATCTGTTGGTGGTTGATACTTGAAAAACACAGTTGATATTTGCAGAACAGGCAAGCTAGAGTTCTTTTTAGTATTTCTCAGATCATAATCTTTTATAATCTTGTATCACATTGCCATTGGAACCGGTAACTCTAGGTGTTGAAGGAGACTTGGTCTCAACCTGTGTATAGTGTTGATACGTAAATGATATTAAAATTTTGTAATATTTGTAAAACACTTGGGCCTTGATTTGTCTGTACTTAAAGTAAAATATTTAGAAACAAATTTTACATACAGCTTCATGACAATAGTAATGCAACTAATAGTGAACTTTTGATTTGTAGCAGCTAATCTTCTTATCAAGTTAAACATATAATTTAGTTTAGACCATTGAAGGCATGCTACCAGGATGAAATAGAGAATGTTTTTCAACGAATTTTTTAAGTATGTTTAAACTAGACTTTGAGCAGCGGGTATGTCTGTTGTTTGTGTTATTTATAAAACCCCATGAACAGCCATTGTTTAAGAAATATTAGTAATATATGAGGGTCATCCAGATTGTAAAGCAATGTGCATCCCACGCAGCACAGATCCTCCACTACTGTGATTATGTGCGCGGCCGTTTGACCCTTCCTTCTCTTCACTGTGAGGTGAGAATTGTTGCTGTATGATCACGGTACTTAAAACGACTTCATCACGCCATTCAAAACAATTAAAAGAGGCGTAGAATGGTGTCAGCTTATTTTTTTCATTCACAACAATGCCTGGCCTTATGCCTCAGCATAAACACGGCAAGAACTCCAAAGTCTGAAGTGGGAAATCTTTAGTCATCCTCCCTGCAGCCCTGACTTAGCACCAACTGTCGGGGAAAACGGTTTAGACACTCGAGTTTGGAGCTCTACAGTAACAAAACTATTTAGAAAAACACAGAGTATATATAAATTTCTGATGATTAATTCTAAGTATTCCTGTGAAAACAAAAAAATTTAGCTCGTTTAGAAATTTTTTATGACAGCCGGAAGGTAAAAAAACCCCTGTTTTTTAGAGTATCAAAAAACCATGTTATGAATTTAAAACTCGCTCAATATAAACTGGGAACGTCAGAACTTAATCCAACTTCAATAAAATTTTTTTACTTCACCCAGAAAGTTTTTGTTGTTAATTTTGTAATTTAACTAATTCTCAAAAACGGCAAACACTAGAAAAAAATTTCAAAGCTTGATTTGAACGTGATTGTGTTTGTATTTAATGTATTTATACTGCTAGTCCATATTGTTACGCATATTATTTATATAAATAATTAACATGTAACTGTATGATCTTGCACCTGGAAAGGGTGCAGAAGCCATCGCCTGTTCAGGAATCCAGTGCAGCGTCACCACAATGGACCCCGAGCGTAAGGTGATTCACACAGTATATGTCACTGACGGCTAACTCACAGGTCACATCATGTTTTGCATTCTTTAAAAGGATCCAAAGTATTACCACCCCAAAAATACCATTAATTCACCTCAGTTTGTCCCCGATTTTAGTTGTGATCACATCGCTAGAAATAGGTGCCAAATGTAAATTGTCAGTTTCGGAATATGCTATGATAGTCAGTGAGTGCTATATGTTTTTTTAGAAGTGAGGGAGAAGTGTTAGGTGATATCCAGTACATCAAAAAGTGCACGAGTGTTTGGGAAGATCATAGTAAATATTCAGTTAACAGCCCATCCCCTGCCCAGTGTCCAGGTGTTCAATAAAGCAACGTACGGGGTAAGCGCCCGGTCAGAGGCGGTGGTAGTCTGGAAGTGACCTAATCGGCCGCTACATCATCCAAATTGAATGTTAATTGATATAAATAATATGCGTAACAATGTGGTGGAACCTTATGAATATTCCAAATACCAAAACTATCACCTTCAAAACAAGATTTTTCAACTTTTTTCTAGCGTTTGCCGTTTTTGAGAAAAAGTTAACTTAGAAAATTAACAGCAAAAACTTTTTGCATGAAGTAAAAGTTCTGAAACCATAGTCTTTATGTATATCTATATTGTATTAAAGTTTGATGAGGTTCTAACGTTCAGTTTGTATTGTGCGAATTTTCAAAGTCATAAGATGGTTTTTGATACTCTAAAAAAGGGGTTTTTGTTTTTTACGTTCCGTCTGTCATAAAAAAAATTCTAAACTAGCTAAAAAAATGTTGTTTTCACAGGGATACTTAGAATAAAACAACGGAAATTTAGATATACTCTGTCTTTTACTAAGTAGTTGATTACTTTTCTGTAGAGCTCCAAACTCGAGAGTCTAAACTCTTTCCCTGACAGTAGTGATTTCATCTGTTCCAAAGTTGAAAGAATTTTGGGTGGAAAACGGTTTGGAAATGACGATCAACTTAAAGATGCGGTGACAAATGTTTCTAGGCTGATGTGTATAACATCGGAATAGAGAAACTGGTCCTACGTTACAAAAAGTGTATCAACAACTATGTGAATTACGTAGAAATGTAGAATGAAGTGCTGTGGTTTTGTAAATAAAGTTTGGTATTGATATCTTTGGTCTTTATGCTAAAACGTTCTTTACATTAACCCTCGTAACTAAACACTCAATGCTATAGTAAAAATGAAGGTAAACCTTTTGTGTTAAACATATTATGTAAAACATCCATGAATTTGTAAGTAATTGCTCAAAACCTGTTGATAAAAATATTCTAAAAATACACTGTAAATGTAAGGTAGACCTCTCAGAAAACATACTTTTGCTGGCCATCTCTTCAGGTGATTTTTTGCTCGGACTAGAAGGTTTGTTTTTCCGCTCAGACATTGATTTATTCAAAGCGTCATGGACATATTCCAGCTCTTCAAGATACAAAGACTAAAATTCAAATAATTTTATCAGTGGTGGGAACCAAGAATAAACTATCTTGACTAAAAGGCTTAGGCTGTAATTAGGTTTGTAACCCAGCAAGTTTTTAATTATTTCTAGATTTAGCTTGCTATACTGTATAATCAAACCAATTAGTTTATTTTCTCATAATTTAAAATTATTGGTAAATTCCAAACATAAAAGGTATTTACGTTTACAAGTGACAAGAAAAAGTCCATAATAAACATTTAAGCAAACTCGACCCAATTACTTAATAATTCGTTTATTGAACCAAATATAGACATATTTACATGTATTGGTTAAGTCAAAATAATATAATAAACAATGGCATATTTAACTTACAATAATAAAATTAACTTAAAACATGTTGACTCATATATTGTTAGATTTTGCCAATAGGCAGCAGCACTTCTGCTCCCTCGTTTCTTTGACAGCCAGTCTCAGTCTTACACTGCTTTTTCCCTCTCCACAAAGTTATACAACATTCAATATTCTGGCTTTCATCCATTACAACTCAAATCGCTCTAATGTTAGTCAGTCTCAAGGGAAATCATAATCTTTCAGTCGACTCGTTTAAATTCATCGGAAATTATTACTGCTATTCGTTTCAAAATAACGTCCGTAATACTTCGCAATTGCTTGAATTCGAGCAACAGGTATACTAGTATGTGTTACTGTATGAACTTGTCTTACAAACTTTCATTATGATACTTTCACTATCCAGTTTCTCCAGCGCTGCTGGCTTAGTTATAGATTCAAACAAAATAAACAATTTTATTATTAAATACTCACAAAACATTGAAAATTCACTCAATTTGTATTTAGGGCTCACCAATACATGAGTGTACTTACCAAGTATTCCTTACCTTTAATCCCAACTGAATTGCTTTTTGTAAAATCCGGTTCAACTTCTTTGTATCTTCATCAAGATATCTTTGGTATACCTCATGCTTTTTGTTCTCTGTAATTAATGTATGAATATGTTTTAGGTTTAGTTGTATTAGTTACATTTTGTGAACCTGGGACAATACTTTCCCTAGATGAGTAACCATAAAATAATAATAACTACGTAATTAACTACAGTGGGGTACTGTAGGGAAAACACTTTAAGGCGTTTAAAGGGAGGGCTCCACCTTATAATGAAAAATTTTAAAATCACCAAGCTTTGACATGCACCCAAATACATAGTAAATGTGTGGAAATTAGATAAATCGTAACGCCATGTGCGTAAAAGAGGTCAAATAAACTATAAAGGGACCTCTAAAAATAATTTGTTAGTAAGTAGTAAGATGTCGAACAATTTTGCCTTTGCGGCCTCTGCCTATTGTTAGTACATAAAAACATTCAAACAACAAAAAAAAGAACTCCAAGAAATAGATAGTCATTAATTTAAGTCGGGTTTCATAATGTTTCATATGATAAGAAACTAGTAATTAATCCAATGACTACTTTTCAGGACTAAAGACAATCTTAATTATTTTGTTTCCCTTTTCTTTATAAAAAGTCATTAACATTTTTGTTTTAATATTTTTACAATACAAACAAAATAAAAATTACTGTTACATTTTTACCTTCAAGCGATGGTCTCAGTTTACTCAGCTCTTGATTTTCCTTGTTTAGTCTTGAAATCTGCTTGTTCAGAGCATCGATAAGTTTTTCAGATTCAACTAGCTTATTTCTAAGCTCATTTAGTTCACCGTTTCTCTCATTTGCTTCTTTCAATTTCTTCCTCAAGTCAAGAACTTCTTTTTCATCAACATCTTTCTCAGTTTCTCTTAATTTCCTATCGGAATCTGACGGCTCAGTTTTCTGCTTTTGTTTGGATTGTTTTCTTTTACCTCCACTTTCAATATTATGGGCAGTTTTTTTTGGTGCTTTGGATCTTTCTATCAATTTATCTTCCAAGTCCTGAATTTTTTCTTTCAGCTTTTCATTTTCTTTTTTCAATTTGTCATTATTTATCTTATGAAATTTTAGCATTTCATTTTCTGAGCTATTGTTGTTGGGATTTTTCAACATATCTAAAAGTCTATTATTTTCATCTTCACAATATTTTCTCTCGCTTTTTTCACTAGCCAATGCTTTTTTGAGATCATTTACTTTGCTGTTTAAAGATTCTTTTTCCTTTTCTATAGACTTCAACTTGCTCTTTATAGCTTCACTATTTTCCCCGTCATTGCTCTGTGTTTCACATTCTGATATTTTCTTTTCCAATTCTTTAATTTTATTTTTCAAATCTTCATTTTCTTTGGAAAGCTTTTTACACTCAGATTTTAATTGTCTTATATCATTTGATTGATCTGATTCCATGTTTTTTATTTTGTCGATTAGACTTTTAATCTGATCTTTAAGTTCATTGTTTTCCTTCTGTAATTCATTTTTCTCCTTGGATATGGAGTCAAATACAGCTTTATCCGGACCTGATAATAAACTCTTTATTTCACTTTCAAGAGATTTTACTTTATCATTTAGTTTTTTGTTTTCAGTTTGAAGATCATTATTTTCTTTTACCAGTTTGTCAAGATTGGAGTTCTGAATTTCTATCTTGGGACTCTTTGATTCTTCTTCTAGGGATTTTATTTTATCCAAAAAGGTTTTAATGTCATCTTTTAGTTTCTTGTTTTCATTCTGAAGCTCAGCATTTTCCTTTAACAGTGCTTCAAACATGGTTTTATCCTGCCCTGATAGTAATTCCTTGATTTGGTTTTCTAAAGATTTAATTTTTTCATATAGTTTCTTGTTTTCGTCCAATAGCCCAGAATTTTTTGTTTCCAAATTTCTTCCTCCAATTTCTAATTCTGTGACTTTATTTTCTAAAGACTTAACTTTGTCATTTGAATTCTGGATATCTTCTTTCAGTTTCTTGTTTTCTTTCTTCAGGACTTCATTTTCTTGCAAAAGTGCTTCAGATGTGAGTTCATCAGATTTTGACGGCAAACTCTTCAGTTTATCTTCAAGAGCTTTTGTTTTATCATTTAATTGGTCATTTTCTTTACGTAGCTCATTATTTTCTTTTTCAAGTTTACTGATCACAGGTTTCTGATTTTTTAATTCATCTTCAAGAGATTTAATTTGATCTTTTTGTAAATCAATAGAAGCTTTTAATTTAGTATTTTCACTCAGTAAAGCAGTATTTTCCTTAGTGAGATCTTCATACAAATCATTATCTTTTTCTGGAAGGGAACTTTTCATTTGGCCCTTAAGAGTATTTAAAGCGTCTTTTAAATTATTGTTTTCAATCTGAAGTTCAGAAATGTCTTTATTGAATTTCTCTGGTACAGGTACTCTCTCCTTAGATGTTGAAGCTTGTATTTTACCCTCCAAAGAACTTATTTGTTCTCTTAACATTTTATTTTCATTTTGAAGGCTAGCGTTTTCATCGACTAATATTTCATTTTTCTTTTCTTGAGCTTTAAAATCTCTTACTTCGTCCGCTAAGGATTTGATTTTGGCATTAAGTTTTTTATTCTCATCTTTTAATTCCGTATTCTCCTTTGATAGATTCTCAAATATACTTTCATCTTTTCCTGACAACAAATCTTTAAATTTATCTTCTAGTGATTTAATTTCACCCATTAAAATTTTGTTTTTGTCCTTCAAATCAGCATTTTCATTAATGAGATTATCGGGAATAGGTTTTTGAGCTTCGGTTTTTAAATCTTCTATTCTATCTTGTAATGACTTAATTTCGTCTTTTAGAGCTTTGTTCTCCTTGGAAAGTTCTTCTTCATGTTTATCTAGCGATTTGTCCTTGGCTTGATTCTCTAAAGATGCAATTTGGTTGTTCAGTTTTGCTATTTCATTTTCAAGATTTTTATTCTGATCTTGTAATGATTTATTGTCCTTCAGTATGTTCTCAAGCTTATTGTTTCCTGATAACAAATCCTTGACTTCATCCTCGAGGGAGATAATTTTATCTTTCAACTCTTTGTTTTCACCCTTCAAATCAGCATTTTCTTTAGAAAGATTTTCAGTCAAAATTTCATTTTTTCCCTGTGGATAATCCTTCACTTGATTTTCAAGTGATGTGACTTTACCTTTTAATTGAGCAATTTCTTCTTTGAGGTCTGCATTTTGCTTGCTAAGTTCCTGAGCATCAGGTATTTCTCGATCTGCCTTCAACATTTTTAGTTCGTTTTCAAGATAATTGATTTGACTATTCAAATCCATGACCTCATTCTTACATTTAATAATATCTTCAGATTGATCAGGCCCAGGTTGGTTTTCTTTTGCCTTTAAATCTCTTATTTCATCCTGTAGGGTTTTTATTTTTTTGTTAAGCCCTTCATTTTCATTTTGAAGATTGTTTTTTTCTTCAGTAAGATTTATTTTCCAATCTTCTTCTTTCCCTGCTAACAAACTGTCAATACTGTCTTCAAGTGATTTGATTTTTCCTTTTAAATTCAAATTTTCGTCCTGTAGCCCAGCATTTTCTGCAGCAAGCTTACTTAGTTCATCTTCTTTAATTTTAAAATCCTTCATTTTGTCTTCAAGGGTTTCAATCGTACCTTTCAACTTATTATTTTCATCTTGTAGGGTATTTAAACTATCAGGTTCCAAAGGACCATGCTTTTCTTCCTTTGATTTTAAGTTAATTATTTCACCACCAAGAGATTTGATTTCATTATTTAACTTTTTTATTTCATTCTGAAGATTAGTGTTTTCTGAAACCAGTTTGTCGAGTTCTGGTTGTTTTACTTCATCTTTGAAATTCTTCAGCTCATCCTCTAAATACTTGATTTTATTTTTAAGATTTTCATTTTCATCCCGAACATCTTTGTTTTCTTGAGAAAGTTCTTCGAAGACAGATTTATCATTTCCTGATAGTAAATTCTTGGCTTGATTTTCCAGAACTTGTATTTTATCTTCCAGTTTCATATTTGAATTTTTTAGATCAAAGTTTTCCTGAGTTAGTAATTTAGAGTTATCCTCAATAAATTTCATTGTCTCTTGACAGAGTGTTTCATTGTCTTTAACTTCTTTCTCTAGCTTTTCAATTTGGTCTCTTAAGTTCTGTATTTCTTTTTTGAGATTGTCATTTTCTTTTTCGTATTGTTTGTTATCTACAGATGGGCTTGGGGAGGGAAGTAAATCTGTATCTTCCTTATAAGTTAACTTTGCAATTTTATCTTTTAGCTCATTATTGTCTTTTGATAGTTTATTATTTTCTTCTTTGATTTGATTTAAGTTCTTTTTGAGCATGTCTATTTCATCTTTAAGTTCTTTGATTTGAGCTTCTTTCTCATTGGTTCCTCCTTCATCAATAGTTGAAACAGGTATGATGGCAGTTTTCTCAGACGGTGATATATTTTTATCTTCCTGTAATTTTTTCAAATCTTTTTCCAAGTTTTCGATGATTTTGTCTTTGTTTAAGACTTGTTCTTCACATTTTTTTTTTTCAATATCGGCATTAAGTTTTAACTTATTAATTTCTTCTTCTAAACTTGTATTTTCTTCTCTAGGATGTTTCCTATTTCCATCTTCTAAAGCCATTAGCTTGTTTTGTAAATTCGCTATAATCTCATCTTTTGATGTTTTTGATTCTAAAATTGGTAAGGTCTGATCCTCTAAAGATTTTATTTTGCCTTTAAGAGCATCATTTTCTGCCAACAAATCATTAAGTTTGTTTCTTAAACCATTGATAGTCTCATCATTTAGACTCTTAGGTTCATCTTGTCCTAAATTGTTTTCTTCTTGTCCAACACCTACAGCCATTATTTTACTTTTAAGAGACTCGTTTTCTTTTTTCAAATCATCCAATTGCTGAATTAGTTCTTGGATCTCAGCAGCCACATCCTGTTTAGGAAGTGGTTGTTTTTCAAAATCCTTAATTAAAACCTTAAGGTCATTATTATCTTTTTTCAGCTTTTCTATTTCGTCATAGAGAAGTTTTATTAACTTATTGTCATTATCTTTAGCTTCCTTTAATTTTTCACTTTCCTCCTTAAGTGCGGCATTTTCTTTGACCTTATCTTCTAATATTGTTGTCAAATCATCGCCAGGTTTATCTTGCAAATTACTTTCTTTATCAGTAACAGCTAAACTCGACTTCTGTTCATTGCCATCTGTTGGGGCTGCGTTCAGCAATTTACTTTTTTCATTCTGCAAATCTTTTGTAAGTTTATCATTAAGTTGCCTCTCATTATTCAGCATGATTTCCAATTCTCTTACTTTGTGTTCCCACTCACTACAAAGAGGTAAGTTTGATAACTTATCAGAATCAAGATCAACATTAAGAACCGGTAGTTTCATTTGATATTCCTTGAGATCATTTTTAGCTTTTTCAAGTTCATTGAGTAATGCATTAGCTTTGTTTTGTTCTTGTTCTAAATCTATCTGTAGCTTACTGTTGAGTTCTCTCTCGTTGTTCAACTCTTTTATTAGGTTTGCTAAGTCACTAGTATTTCCATCAACTAACTGGTTTAATTGGTCCTGTAGTAAATTGCTTTTCTTCTTTTCTTCTGCCAAGTCTTTTTGTAAGACAGCCACTTCCTTGTCTTTCAGATTTTTTATTTCATCCTCTTTCTGCGCTAGGTCAAATCTTAAATCATTAATAATTTTGTTGTACTCTTTTTTATCTCCACTAGCCAAAGCTTTTATTTCATTTTGAGCTGCTTCTAAGTATTTTTTACAGTTATCATTTTCTAAATTAGCATTTTGTAAGGCGTTTTCAAGCTCTAAAACCCGATTTCGTAATTTATCATTCTCGTCTTGCATTTCTGAGTAAAGATTTTTCATCACATCATCTAGTTGATTGTTTTGCTTTTCAGGATCATCATTAACACTTTGAATAATATTTTGTAAATCTCTTAGCATGTTTTCAGTATTTTTTAACATTTCTTTTGTTTTCTTCAATTCTTTGTCCTTTTTGTTGAGCTGCTCCAACAAATCATCCAGCTGGGTTTGCAAGACCTTCGGCTCCTCCTGTGCCTTTAAGTTGAATGCAAACGTAATAAGAAAGAAAATAGTCTAACAATATAACAGATATAGAACATGATTTAGACTAGCCAACTATTTTCATTATCAAATGACAGAAATATGTCAATAAAGGAAATATATATTTGAAAATAGTTTAATTAGGAAGCTAATATCGACTATATAATGGATTAATATAATTGTAACAATTTATTTGTATAGTTGTGTTAGAGTTCTGATTACATTTTCAGATTTGTAAATAAGCATTGATCTATGAAAATCTCCATCAAGTACCTAGCTGATCCAGTTGTCTTTTATTTTGTAGAAAATTGAGGATATTAATTTCCTCAGAAGAGGAGCTTATCCCTATCCCAAGGTTGCACCAATTGGTTATTTCTCTGCGAATCAAGTTACTTGACTCCTATGAAGGCAAAAAAGTTAAGGAATGGATTCAGATGAGAGAAAAATTAGCAGTTAAATAACACTTTATAAGGTACTGCTCTATTATCGTTAAACTCAAGGCCAAGCTGAAAATATTTACAGTTTATTGATTCAAATTCAAGAGTTTAATTGATTAGCCTACATTGAAAATCTGATTTGAGATGTGAAAGGCATCACACATTGTTCCAAACAAATCATGTTTACATTCAATAAACTGCCTGGATAGCTGAGTGGTTATAGTGCTCGCCTAGCAATCAAAAATTGCCGGATCGAACTTGAGAAAAGTCTTTAGCTTTCTGATGGTTAAAACCTGGACCAAGCTGTTTATAATCATTGGGGATTAAAAATTATCCTGACAAATTAAACAGCTGATCTTAGTCAGTAACAAAGCTATACACAGATCATTTTGGGTCTGACTTAGGGGAGGTACAAATGAGGCATTTAGTTCAAAATTCCTCCGTGAACAGCGCTGTAGTAGAGAGCACTTTGGCAATGAAGGTTTAATAATCGCAAAAATAGTTCTGTTCATAAAATAAAATTATAAATGCCTAAAATTCAATTTTATTAATTTTTAATTACAAAATTAAACTATCATAACCTAACCGAACTAACCAAACTTGCTGATAAAGAAATAATATAACAAAAGTTTATAGTAATCGGAAAAATAATTCTGTTTATAAAATAAAACTAGAAATTGCTCAATTAAAATTTTATAATGACTTAATAATGAAATTAAACTGTAATAACCAAACCAAACCAACCAAACTTGCTGAAAATAAAAAATCTTGGACAAAAAGTTAATGCCACCGGCGGGATTCGAACCCGGGACCTGCAGTATATCAGCCCGGCACGCTAACCATTAGACCACCGAAGCCGATGGCTATCGACCGTTTTGTTACGGTAATGGCGTTCCCTCAGCTAATAAGAAGCCCTCAGCTGTCATTGTAGCCTCTTCTATACCTCCCCTGAGTAAATACCGATCATTTTCACTCCATTCTACTCTTATCTTTCAATCATATTAGGGTTAAAATACGCACTTAGGTGGCGTCCCCATCTCATTTTATAATTGATAAAATAATAATAAATACTACAATTTATTTTACTACAAAGTTAATTCTTCAGAAGTAAAATTGTTTCTTGGAAGGACAAAAGAAAAAATGTTTTTTTTGTATGTGATGAGTTAAAAACTGACCTCTGCCATAAAATTGATGCGACTCAGCAAGTTCTCTATTTCATTTTCTTTGTCGGCGATAATATTCTGATTATTATTGTCTTTTACTTCTTGAACCTGGAATTGAAGATACTTGATTAAGAATCAAACATGGAAATGGTTATTTTTGTAACTAGTACGAGAAGTGGCACTTCGCTGCACATGAAAGAAAGGCGAGTGCGGAAAGTTTCTTGAGTACAGAAAAAGGCAATTTGTGCTTGTGTTAACCTACACATTACATTTTCCTTACAATTGTTATAAAGCATATAAATAATTAGTCTTTCACACACTAAACCACACGTTTCAGGTTAGGTTAAATCCAAGCATTGCACAAAAATAAAATGTTAACTCGAAACAACACAGGTTAAATTAAGTCGTAGTATCAATAGTCAACGGCTGCGAAACGCTGTACCAACTGATTGTAGTCAGTATCTTTATGTGCTGGCAACTTATTTTCAAGCGTACACGTATTAAATGCCTAATAAAAGCTCAATGTTTTGTGTTGTTTGGTTGAAATACTGGAGTGCGGCAAAGTAAAATGAGTGTGGCAAAAGTAAGTAATGCAGCAATTAGCTACTTTGCGTTTTATAATCAGAGGAAGGAAGCCCGCTTTATGTCAGGTAACTGTAGGAAAAAATGTTTAAATAACCCGTTAGAAAAAAAAGAAAGATCGTTTTATTCTTTTAGTTGAAACCATAATAACAGTTTAGTTTTCAACTTTTCATAACTCTACAAAAATAGTTTACAGTTTTTGGAAAAGTTAAAATTATTACAAATAGTTCAACAGTTCAGTTGTATATTAATAATACTATTTTAAACTAGCACTACTATCATAAACTGGTTCTACATTTGTCTTGTCTTAATCCATTCTTTAGTCAGAATCTTTTTCCAATACAACTTACCTCAGGCATGGTATGAATGCGGAAAAGTAACCGTTCTATTTCGTTTTCTTTGTCTGCAATTATATTCTTCAATAAGTTCTTGTCTCTTTCCAGATCACTGATCTGCTCTTTTGGCTAATTAGAAAAACACCATATTATTATCAAGCAGACGAACATATGATAAAGAAACAATTCAGGAATACATATCAATTCAGGTAGCTATAACATTGTTTTTAAACGTTTAAACTCAAAATCTATAGATACTTATTGGCAATCATTTTATAAAAAAAACCATACCAATAATAACCCGCCTCTTCATTTTTTTAACCAATTTTTAATAACCAGTGTCTTAAACATTTTGTTATGCAGGTTAACTCTTACAATGAAGTTTCACAAATTAACAAATTCAAACCTAAATGAAATTGTCTCATCAAAATCTGAATATAATTGGTAGTTTGTAATGTTTATGTTAACACACAACAACAGGTTTATAGGTTAAGTTCAGTCTTGTATCAATTGTCAATAGGAAAGACAATAAACACTGCACCAGCTAATTGATTTTTCCTACAGAGTTACCTAACAATGTACATGTTCTCTCACTGATTTGTGAAAGCAAAGTGGCCAATTCGCTCATCAGCCAATGTTAACATTGTCTCACTCTAATTACTTTGTCTCACTCCAGATTTGCAACGTGAAGGCACGAAATAGTGAGCGCGTAACATGCAGGCAACATCGTATGCGCGCGAAATACGTTGGCAGCACTGGCTGTAAATCAGCTGGTCAGCTGTTGTACTGTTGTATTTGTCACTTCACATTAAATGTTATGTTAAAAGTTCACTTATGTGTAAAAATAGGTTACGTTTCTTCACCAATTTATTTGTTTTATGGTAACTGTAGGAAAAGTATAATGTGCAACTCGAGTTCAAAGTACAATTGCCTCACTGGAGAAACCATTCCTCACTCGCCTACGGCTCGTGAGTAAGGATTTCTCTCGAGTGAGTCAATTGCTCACTTTTCTCACTAGTTGCACAAATAACTATTGCAGTGTTGCCAACTTGTTTTCAAGCATACCTGCATACGGTACCTATTACTTGCCTAATAAAAGCACACTATTTTGTGTTGTTTAGTTTAAATACTGGAGTGTGAAAAAGTAAAATGAGTGCAGCAAAGTAAGTAAATACAGGAATCAGCTACTTTTCATCCTATAATCAGTGCAAGTAAGTCCAGTTTGTCTTGCAACTGTAGAAAAAAAATTGAATACAGTAAAACCTACTTCATTGCTTGAGTGAAATAAATATAATCAGCTGATCCAATTAAATTGATATGATAGGACCTGATATGTTATGACATGTTTCTTCATCAATTAGTTTGCACCAAATATATCAGCGTAAAAAATTTCAACTGCTGAAGATATTTCACATAGGTATTGTGAACCGGATACTACTTACATCAGACATTGTGTGGATTCTCAACTGCTGAAGATATTTTACATAGGTATTGTGAACCGGCCGGATACTTACATCAGACATTGTGTGGATTCTCAACTGCTGAAGATATTTTACATAGGTATTGTGAACCGGATACTTACATCAGACATTGTGTGGATTCTCAACTGCTGAAGATATTTTACATAGGTATTGTGAACCGGATACTTACATCAGACATTGTGTGGATTCTCAACTGCTGAAGATATTTTACATAGGTATTGTGAACCGGATACTTACATCAGACATTGTGTGGATTCTCAACTGCTGAAGATATTTTACATAGGTATTGTGAACCGGATACTTACATCAGACATTGTGTGGATTCGTGTCAGGAGATTATCAATTTCATTTTCTTTATCAGCTACAATATTTTTCAGGATTTCATTTTCTTCTTGAAGCTTTTCGATTTGTTTTTCGAGCTAAAAAAAACTATCATGTTATTATTTTTATAATTTGAACACAATTATGAAGAAGTGTGTTTGTGTTAAGCATTTTACCTACCTAGATTCAACTACTACGTAGGATAACTTCATAAATTTAGACACCCCAGAACAAATGCTATGAGATTTTCCTGTCTATGATTGTGTGGTTTTAGCTAAAACTTCTGTAAGCTTGGGTTGTAAATTATTATTATTCTCTAGCTTGCCACCAAGTATTTGTCATAAATAAGCTCAGCTTACAGCTATCTTTCTATTTTATAGTTAGTCCAAGAAGGCCCACTTGAATGCTGGACAGTTGCCTTTTGGAATAGGTAACTTGCTAAAATTTATTTATAGGGTTCAGACTCATTTAAGAGATAAGAAATATTTAAAATCTGAGGGAATATTGAGGTGGAATTCAAATTACTACATGTGGTATTAAAATGATACATTGTTCATGTTGATTCCTGGTCAGTTATCATCCAATGTAGCCTAACTGATATCATAACTATTCAAGTTTAGAAAAAGATCAAGTTTTGGAGTAATTCCTTTTTTTAAATGAACTTCATTTAAGTTGTCCAAAAATCAGTTTTCCTACCTAAGTTATAATGATAAGGTGTAAAAAATTCAAACTTTGGCAAAGTATAGCAACTTAGCGCACTTAAATATATATTTTATCTTTAGGTAATAAACTAAAAATAATATTGGTTAAACCTCAGTGGCAGAGGGGCTTGTGCCTAAAAGATTATATTTTTCCTCGTCTTCATTACCATCAGGTTGGATTCCTTCTCCTGCACCTGCCTGGAAAATAAAATTAAAATTAGGCTTTAATAAGAAATTGAATACTTCACAATAAGCTTTACAACTGAAAAATTGAAGATATACTTGCCAAAATGATCATCATCTACCCTTTGAGGAGGAAATCACTAGACTAAATCAACCTAACCTATGACCTCTTATTTGTGTAATTCGAGACTACACAAACATTTTTTTTTTACTTTAGTGGTATAATGCTCACATTGTTCACTACATTTAAGAAGTGTTGCCTCCTAAACTCTTCATCTAGTGCCCATGCTCGATGGTCTTCGCATGAGTCTGCTTTCTTCAACCGATGATCACTGCGCTTTTTCTCAATAGGTTGGCCCACAAAAGCATTGATCCTTTCCTTTAAATAGGCCATCCTGAACCTGTCCGAATGATTTTTAATATATATATATCTTTAGAACACTATTAATAGACTATTAGTATCTAATTTTGTTTATAAACATTTATTTTGGACAGATAATTTGAATTGAAAAAACACAGTTTTTTTATTACAACAGATGGATTATTATTTTTATTGTTAACTAACATTGTCAGCTGGAGTTCCACAGCACTTATGAGGAAAATGAATTGTTAAACCATACTGACCTATGAGTAATTTGTAAAATACCCCTGCCGCAGTAAACCTGCAGACTAAGCGAATTTCCATTTGCCTGAATTTATATACAATTAAATCTATTTAAATAACATTAGGTAAAATAAGTACTTGTTTGCTGCTACAGGGAGGCTAATAAAGTGTGTTTTTTTTATAAAATATTAATAGTTTAGTATTAAATAAATAAGTTTGCCAAGTTTGATCAAAATATATCCATAAACAAGCAAACTACAAAATTTTACAAAATTATCCATAAGAATAACATGGGAATTTTAACTTTTAAAATTTTTTGAATTTTCTCCATAACCATTACAACACAAAAACACTTCAACATACTAAATTATTTGTATTTTTAAGCTTTTTAAAATAGTCTAGAGAGAAATTTTGTGTTTTGATGGTAAAAAATGAGAAAAACCGTTTTACCCCATAAAACCCCGTTCCCATCATCCGATCATGCTGAACAAACTCATTCAAGTTTATCTCGCATTACACCTTCAAACCAAACTTCATCAAAATCAAACAAAAATTACTCAAGTTATCGCGTTCACGGACACATATATACTTGAGTATACTGTATTTAGTTGATTTAGAGGGATTTTAAAATTTTGTTATTTTTTTGTGGTGATGTTTTTTTCTGTACAAGAATGTTATTTTTTTATTTTACTAGGAAACTTTTAAGATGCTATTGTCTAGGCATATTGTGTGCGTGTGTGCAAATGTTGTACGAGTGTGTCGCCTGCTTCCCTTCTGCCATTGTCATGTGCCGCCTCTAGCCTGCTCATCATCTCCTCCGTTATCTCAGCTTCTCTGCCAAACTCTGTCTCCATTCCCCAACTTCTTAGGCAGCTCATGTAAATGCACAATCTTTTTTTTGTCACACAGACAAATTTCGTACAATCTTTCAAAATTCCTCAATAGACATAATTTTAATTTCTGAAACTTGGCTCAAACCTTCGTTAAATGACAAATGTGTTGAATTATCTGGCTACCATATTTTTATAAATGACTGTCTCCATAAGTTTGGTGGAGGAGTTGCTGTTTATGTTAAGTCTCACTTTCCTTCCTTTATACTTTTAAAGCTCAGAAACAGTGGGTAGACCTGAATATTTGTTTTTGGATTTTTGTATTAAAAAAACACATTTTTTGATTTGTGTTTGTTACAGAGCACCTCAAATTGGGTTCTTGGCCGGAGTTTGGACAGCATTTGGTGGGTCTATGCTGCCTTGCTATAGTCAGGTCATTGTGATGGGTGATTTTAACACTGATCTACTGGGACCACTTACTTATGACCAAACTACACTTACAAATGTGTTTTTCTCCTGCAACATTACCATCTCGCCTTTACTCGCCACACATCACACTGCGGCTCACACACTGCTGGATATCATAGCTGTTAATGACCCATCCCTAATCGCCCACCACGGTCAATATTCGGTCAGAATCCTTAACAATGAACTGGGTCACTTAAAAAACAAATTAAAGAGTTAAATTAAGAGCTCTCTTACTCTAACTAAATCAAACTCACCAAAATATTACAATGCTGACCCATCTAGCCCAGCAGTAACCTTTCCCCAGAATATGAGTGAAGCCGAACCTACCTTGAATGATAGCTCTAGTCACTAGATCACCAATCCCAGAGGAAGCAGCCAAAGACATCATGCAACCCACCCAGTTATCACTTCAAGACTTGTCTAACTTCAGTCCACTGCCAGAGCCACTACTTCACAAGCAACAGCAGTGTAGTGAAGTGAATGGTTCTCTGTCAAGATCAACTGATGGCAGCGACAGCAACCCACAACAGGGGATGGAGCGCAACACATCATAGGTGTGCACAGCCCAGTCTCCTTCTTCAGCTCCGGGGCTACATCTACCCGGTGAAAGTGTCATGTGTTGTGCAAGACAATTTGGTGCAAGGGACATTCCAGAAGGTGTGCTGGGAGTAGTTGATGGATGTACAGATACAGCAGGAAAAGCTTTTGTAAATATTAGTAATAGTTTGGGAGATAAGCAAATAAATGTAAGCAAGGGGTGCAGTAATCTCAATGATAACGGTTTTTTTGGGAAATGAACATGCTTATTTTTCATTAGAACATCCAGGGTTGTGCCAAAAAGTTAGAAGAGTTAAATATTTTTTGTCAAAGTACCATAGTCAATATGAAATATTACTATTGTCTGAGCATTGGTTGGGAGATGACAATAAAGAACTCTTGTTTGTGTAGCGAAAGTAATGTTTATGTAGCCAAAGTAATGTTTATGCCAGGAAAAGTCAGCTGATCACTAATTGTTTTTGGTGTATGGTAATTTCCAATTTCCGAAGATCTCAGCTGTTTGGAAATGGGCTATTTTCCAACCCTCCAAATTTCCAATTTTTTTTTGTGATGAAAACATTTTATCATGGTTGGTATCTGTCGAGGTAGCTGAGTGGTCATAGTGCTCGCTTAACAATCAAAAGGTTGCCGGATCAATCCTGATAAAAGTCAGTAGCTTTTTGATGGTTTGAAACTGGACCCAGCTGTTTCTAATCGTTGGGTTGTTAATGATCCTTGCTGATGAAACAGCTGATTTTAGACAGTAACAACTCTTCACAGACCTCATTCCACTCTACACCATCCTTGACTCCTATTTGGGTTCAAATATGCACATAGGTGGTGTCATTGACTATCCAACACAAGTAGACTTCTCATCCAATTGTAAAATTTGATGCTCGTTTTTGCGTCTAGTTCATGTTGGTGACACTGGGCCCTAGTGTCAACGCAATTTTGTTTTTATTATGTAAGTGTTCATTTCATGATTTGAGCTATACTGTTTGGTTATATAACTTGGGGACATGTTATTGTTTATGATTAGATTGTTTTATTTGGCAAAACATTTTTTTTTTATGACCGATGAAATAACAAGAAACTAATTGTGGACAAAACACGACCCCTACAGGATGGAACTAAAAATGTCTTTGCCTGATCTATAAGATCTATATTTTACCTAAAAATAACTTAAGCCCCGTTCACACGGAACGAGTTTACAAGCTACACGCCGGCTTTTTTACACGCAGCTAGTAAAAAAGCTCAGTGTGAACGACGTACTCGCTCAAAAGCTGCTTGTAAAAACGCTCTGGAAAAAGTTGGCGCTGCCGCCACTTTACACGCCAACTCGCCAGCTTTTGAGCGAGTAAGCATGTAAAGTAGCCCAGTGTGAACACAGTTGCTTGTGCTTGTGCGCATGTTACTCAAAGATGTCGGAGGATTTGGTTCAAGCCAGCTACTGAGCGAGTGGAAAAAGCATCGTGTGAACGACTACAAGCGCACTCACCGACTCGCCGGCGTCTCTGTACACGTTGGCGAGTGGACAAGCTCCGTGTGAACGAATACAAGCGCACTCGCCAACTCGCCGGCTTCTTACACGCTTGCGAGTAGCTTGTAAACTCGCCCCGTGTGAACAAGGCTATAGTTGTGTGTGCTAAAGTTATATTTTGTACCTAATTTGTTTTACCGACTATGTTGATAGGTTTACAGGTTGCTATAGCTCACAATAAGTCATTCCATTAGTTTGACTTGTTAAACAGGTTTGTGTATCAATCTGTTGGTGGTTTTGATTAAAAAACAGGCAACTACTTTTACATGGGGATGGAATGTCTACAGTAGTTGTATGAATAGTCAAAGGTGGCGTCCCCATCTCTTATTGATGTAACAACTACATGTTGTGCTGGCCGTAGATTGTGGGATTGATGGCTAAAGTGCCAAATCCAAAATAGAATCTTGGATAAATTCCTCTTTATAAATTGATTTACAACCAACTTTCATTTAACACTAACTGTGTGCCCGTTCTAAGGGTATGTTTCCTGATAATTTAAAAATAGCCCGGACGATACCCATCTACAAGAAAGGGGACCCTTCACTCCTGTCCAACTTCAGACCGATATCTATCCTCCCATCTTTCTCCAAGGTGATAGAGACCATTATGAAGAAACAACTAATAGCCTACTTGGAAGGTAATGCCATTCTGACGGAAGCCCAACACGGAATCAGAGGTAAACACTCGACCACTTCTGCACTTTTAAGCCTTGTTGACGTTATTTCCAGTGCTTTTGAGGAGGGTGAGTCTGTCCTGCTAAGTTTGTGTGACTTGAGCAAGGCATTCGATGTCGTAAATCACAAAATCCTTCTTGCTAAACTGAGTAAGTATGGGGTGGGTGGCGCAGTCCTTGGCTCACTGACTGAATACCTGAGTGACCGCAAACAGTATGTCACTCTGAGAGGTGCCTCTTCCAGCGTTGGCAGCATACCTCACAGCGTGCCGCAGGGCTCGGTGCTGGGGCCGGTGCTCTTCACTATCATGATCAATGACCTCTCACTTAACAACCGTACTCTACTGTTTGCTGATGATACTACTCTGTTCTCTAGAGGGAAAGACCTAGAGGATCTCTGTGGAGAAGCTACTGTTCTACTGGAAGAAGCGAAGAGCTGGTTTGCCGTCAATAGGCTCAAGGTGAATGAGGACAAGACACAGACCATCCTGTGTACCCTCAAACCTGCTGTGGAAGATGAGGCTGTAAAACTCCTGAGCTTCTGGCTCGACCCCAGGTTAAATTGGAAGCATCACATAGACAAGGTATGTGTCAGACTATCTAGAGTTACTTACCTACTAAGAAGACTTTGCCCTACTTTAAGTCAACCCTCTCTGCTGATGGTCTATCACGCCCTCTTCCACAGCCATGTGTCGTACGGCCATGTCCTATGGGGCCATTCTACAGCAGCCCCATGACATCCTACTGCTCCAGAAGAAAGCCATGAGGATAGTGTCATCTGCTG